GGAATTACTTAACATACTCCTAACAAATTCCATAAGAGTACAATTACGCCTTACAGCTACACGCTTCTGCTGTAGCATGTATAGCAAAGTGTATTGAGCAGAAATGCCATATATTTCAAGGAGTTTAACAAACGGTTAGAGTATTAACCCATTTTATCATACTTTTCATAACATTCACCACCTTTATATGACCTTATGATTTTCACTTTTCTATCTAATTGTTTTTCAACCTCACTTATGTATACTTCAAGAGTACCCACTGCTTGAGATTTTTCATACAACAAATAGATATATCCATAATGTGAAAAATCAACTATAAAGACGATAAAATATTTTTCTCCTCCAAAAGATGGAACATCAGAATGTCTACAAATGTCTGTATGAATAATTTTAAGAACCTATGTACTTATTGTGGCTCATTTCTTTATGTATTTAGTTTATTTACCCTTAATACAATCCACACACACACCAAAATCAATAAAGTTTAGATTCAGAAGAATCACATCCTTTATTAATTTTCTTAACATTTCACTAGATATTGGCATAGTCTTTTATACCACAAGAAAGATAAATTTTTTATTAATTGAGCTATACTTAATTCTAACATTGTGATGTAAGATAAAAAAGTTTTTTTTAATAAATAAACCATCAAGTTTGAATTTACAGAAATCACATATCAACAATAATACCATAACTCACAAATTATAATTTCTTGAATAAATATCATTACTAAATTTAAATGAAAAACCATTAACATAAAGTTTTGAAATAAAATCAAATTATGGGAAATTGAATAAACATAAAAAATTTAAAATAATTTAAATAAAATCCATTGTCTAACATTAAACATAGTGTCACAATGGTTTCAATAAAACTTTTTCCCAATTATCATAAATAAGAAATTCTTATTTGAATTTGTGGTTTAGGCCATAAAAAATTCTTGCATCTATTAGAAATATAAATATTAATACTTAAATCAACCTATCATGTATTAAAAAGAATTTCAACAAGTAATTCGCAATATACAAAAGCCAAAAGCGTACTTTTCTTTTTCGAATCATTCTTTATATGTCATGTAATCTTTCTAAAAATGTTCAATACATTAATGACACTTTTTCATTATTACATTACTTTCTTTTAGTAGATTGACCTAAATCTTTTAATTTTTGGTGTTACTCACTTATTGCCTTTTCTGATTTATTCCCAAATTTCTTTCTAACTTCTTGAGTCATCAGATGAACATAATGATTACCTTACTACTTAAGTTTTGTCTCCTCATAAATTAACATAATGGTCAATTAAATCACTTTCCATTTGTCTTAATAGTGTTAATTCGAAATGACCCATACTGAATAGACAATAAATTGAGAATAAATTGAATAAGAAAATTCCCATTCACAATCATCCATAAGGTTTTCAATTTTACAGCAACAATAGTCATCTAAAAATACGATCATACACAGTACGAGTACCAACAAAAAATCTATAATAGTTATATCAATTAATAATTTTCATTTTAGATATTTATCTACAACACGAAAACATTCTTATAATCAAATATTCCTTAGCACTATCACTATGAGGAACAATTATTCGCATAACTATAATGCTTAATCTGTTCGATCTCTCCCAAGCTTTATAGAGAATCTTTTCTTTTTCACTGTTTTTATCAGTAATAACAGTAAGTTTCTCAATTTAAAATGTTAAATTAAGATTTAACACATCTAAATTTTGAACTCAACTTACTCATTTCATTATGAGAAGTTAGTCATATTGAGAATCAGAACAGATGTAGCATGCGCATTAAGTGATGTAATAAAACAAATATAATAAGATAAAATCTTAACAACAATGCTTTGAGTTAACAACATGTATGTATAACTTAAAAATATAAATACAATGTATAACTATAGTACCCCTTTGGATGACAACTATAAAATACTAATAATGATGCTTACATGTATTTATATGTATACCTTTATTGGTGATGCATTATTTAATTAAACAAATAAGTTACATTTGGATATCCTATATTTACCTAATTAAAAAAAAATACATACGACCCTTTAATTTTTATTTAATCACTTGAAAATCAATTCCCTTTGAGGAATTATTTCTCATAAATAAATAAAATCAATATTCACGAATATCACAAAAAATTATAAGCATCATAATTCATGAAATATTGCAATTATGTTTACTATTAAAATTAATATTCATCAACTATTATGGTTAGGCCACTTTGGTAGCTACCAACCTTTACATAATATGAATATTAAATTAAATAGCAACTAATTTATGATTAATTATATCTATTACAAAAATTAATATTCATCAATCATTATGATTGGGCCACTTTAGTAGCTACCAATCTTCACATAATATGAATATTAAATTAGACAGTAATTAATTCATCATTAAGTTATATTTACTACTAAAATTAATATTCATCGACCATTATGGTTAGACCACTTTGGTAACTACTAACCCACATATAATATGAATATTAAATTAACTAATAATTAATTAATTATTAATTTACCCATTTAACATTATACACACATACTCATAATTGTCGATTAAAGTTTAAGCAACTTCGATTTCAAAAACTTAATAGTCCGAAATTTCATAGAAAATATCTTTTTTATATACATAATAAAATATATTATTTTATTTTCGGACTTAAAGATCATAATTGAATCAATTTAAAATTGATTCTACAATATGTATGTATGTTTGGGTACGAAACAACAAGTTATTTGCATGTCTAATTTATTAGATTAAATTTCTAAACTCACAAATTATTCTAGAAATTCAAATTCCTAAAATAAATAAATCAATACATATATTTTATGTATTCAATAACTTTAATTTTAATTTATTTTAAATTAAAATCAGAATCTTCAAATCATTGGACAAATACTTATAACAATAATTTAAACCTCTTTAATAAAATAAATAAATACACAAACTTAATGTATTTATTAATTTTTAAATAATAATAATAATGCGCCTTTATAATCCTTTCACAACTGACTGTTTCTATAAAACAATAGCAAGACAAATGCTATTATTATTATTATTATTATTATTTTAATTCAATGTTCTTTATTAGTCATGCACAAAAATCAGTAACCTAAAGTATTGAAGTTGTTTGTCTTACACACATTATGCATACGTTTGTACTATTACACATATGTAAACTATGTATCAGTAACCAACTTTCATAATTTAATTTTGGCTCGGAAATTGAGGTACCCATACCCAAAAACCACCCAGACTGATCTAAACATGCGATTCTAAAAGAATGGATTATACAATCATTTAATTTTAAATTTATACATATTATTTTATGCAACTTTAATGAAAAATAATGAGTTCCTAAACCGTTAACTTTGATACCACATGTAAACTATAATAATTCGTGTTGAGCCATTAATCACACATTTATATGAATCCCATATCTTAGAACTTCATGTTTTTCACATATCTGTAATGCATAAATAAATACTAGTTAGATATAAATACCTCGATTCACGATATCAATTCTTGTTGAGATTAAGTCCAACGTCCAGATTCTTTGGCCACGAACTAATCTGCAACTCTGATCAACAGACAAAGGTGGAAACTGGTTTTGCAACTTATTTGGTGTCCAAAACATTAATTAATGAAATATATCACATGTCTAAAATATGTGGGCCATACAATTAATAAATAATCTTACATTTCCTACGTTCAATAAAAAGAATAATACATCATTTTATTCATTGAGATAAAATGAGCAATACATTAATAAAAAATTGAGCAAGATATGAATAAAACAATATGCCGTATAATTTAAACAACACAATAGTCTTAGCCATTGAATAGTCTCAACCATAGAAAATTAATATAATAATAGAAATTAAAAGAAAAAACAATAATAGTAGAATAAGTAAGAAAATACTGGCATGACAGAGAAGGTTTGTTTAAACACATTTACCTAAATCTGATAGTCTTCCTCTCCATGCGAGTATTAGCGATTCAATACAATAGGCCTTTAAGATACAAACCATATCTGCTTATGGTCTTCTCTAATCACATTCAAAAAAAGACACAATTGAACTAGTCTTATCTTCAAAGTTGCCCCAAACACGATATAAAATACTCCCATAGAATCAGAGAAGTGGGTTTCTTAGAACAAACTCACAGTCTTATACACAAAAATGTCACTCTACAAAATTACAATATCCCAAATGAGAGTGGATGATTTTATATATAGAGTATGAATGCGGCAAAAATATAGTAATACTTATGTAATAATTGAAATAATACACTATAAATATAATTTAACTCATATAATAATATTCATTATTATAAATATCGTAAGTAATTCTGTTACATATTATTTATATTTTTACTACTAAAAATCCATCACAGAGACAAAGTGAGCTATGAAAAATCCATTTTTCTAGAAACATTAAAAAGAAAATTCAAAGATATACATTTTTAATACGGGATTAAATTTTTAAAAATGGACATCCTTGACACAAACTTGGATCACTTGATGGGCCAAATTAAACATGGATCACATGGTGGTCCAAAATCCAAATCAAAGAGATTGAGATAATCTTGGTGTAAATGTGTAACTAATGATAAATGCATATACATATAGGAGATATATATATATACACACACTGTATATAATAGCTGCATGTGAAAAAATTTAAGTATGTACTGACTTAACAAAGGTCAGCTAGCATTAGATTTTATCATCATTACTGTACTCAGACTTGTCTTTAAAAGGAGATTCACGTCCGCCAAGTCATCATGATGGACGATCTTGGACCATCTGATTTAACTAATTTAAGCATATCCCCATATTTCTCCAAAATTTAAAAGTGAAAAACAGATTCGAATAATCAGACGGTTCAAAATGGTTCTAGTCCTCATCATCAACGGCTTATGATAGTTGTACAGCATAGAAACTGTTTACACATTTTATACACAAACCCAGAATCTTAATCAGAGATTGCAAAGCTTAATCTCCTCTCAGCCTCTCTCTCTCTCTCTACAATCCTCACCATATTTCATTCATCTGCTCAGTGGCCTTGGTCGTGTATAGATTTTCTCTCAGAACAAAACGAAACCGTCAAATTTGGAGAGAGAAAGAGCTCAGATACTCTGAAACGTTTGTTACTATTCACCAACTGCTCTCCTGAATTTCGACCTTAAAACGATCGGTTGATTATTCGATCCTTATCTTCTGTATCAGTTTTTCAGGTACTTCTCTCAATCTGTTTAATTTACATCTCGAATTTAGTTCTGTGATAATCATTTTCTTGTATATTGTGGTTTGATTTTTTTTTTTTGGGACATATTTTTGATTTTTTGTTGATTCTTTTTCTGCTTGATGCAATTTTGAGACTGGAAATGGGGATCTGTTAATTTGGAGGTTTTGTATAAAAATATGTTTTTTTTTTTTTTTTTTTTTTTTTTTTTGGGTATGAATTTCTATCTGGGTCGGTTGTAGAATATGGTCTTGTTCATCGTTGATATCAAAGGATTTGATTACTGTTAGTGGGTTTTTTTTAGAAACAACACTGTTCAAAGATTGTTACTTCGGTGATTTTCACAAAGTTAGGGTCTTTTTTTAGGTAGTTTAATTTAATTTAATTTATTTTAAAAAGGTATTGGTATCTTAGAGTTTGTGCACCGAATAATGCAAATGTTTGCTCTTACATATATTGATGTTTATTTTTTTTAATTATTTTGTTTTGGGTTTTTAATGTATTCTACTAGGTTTTGGATTTACTTCTAGGGATTTAATATTATGTAAAGAGTTTGTGAAGTGAAAAAATAGCAAATGCTTACACTTTTTTGCGTGATGTGTATCTTCATCTATCATATAAAGTCCTCACCTTTGGATTTTTATGTGGTTTATTTATTGATAGACTAATTGGATTATGGTTTAGTTTCTGAAATTCGATGTTGAGTTTTATTGTTCTTCTAAATTGAGATAATTATACCTGTACAGCTAAGTCTGTGAGCTAGGGGGGGCCATTGCTTGGTGCAATGGTAAAAGCTTGGGCTTATGAGTGTGAGGATACAAAAAAATGTCAAATGTTAATGTGTGTTTCCAGTCTTTCCGATCGAGCACCGTACACAGGCGAAACTAATTCTCTGCAATGGCCTTTTTATGGGTATACCTTTGAGCTGAAGTTATAATTAGAAATATTGGATTCTACTTTGGTGATTTGATTACCGGAAGTGCACATATCTAGTATTGATTTGGCAATGGTCTGAACTTACTGTAGTTAGTTTCCTTGAAGTTGTGCAGTTTTGTATGCAATCTTGTTCCTGTGCAATATAACAGCAAGAGCTAACTTGATAAGCATTTTACTGCAACTATCAAGGCCTAGCCTAACAGTTAACAACTTGTCATGTACTAAAAAAGAGAACATGTAAACAGTTGAGGCAATTTCATTGCAGAGAGAAAGAACTAAGGATGCATTTACTAGAATCATTATAGAGCAGAAGATGCTCATGGTAAAATGAATGCTTGGGTTTGAATTTGAAATAATTGATTAGCTATGATATTTATGGTTACTGGTCAAGCTTAATCAAGTAAAATAGTATTAAGTTGGTACTGCATATGGATGGGTGAATATAATCGGATGGGATGTGGAAGGTTAAGATGTTCACGAATATCTTTTCTTTTTATTATTGTTGCAATAATGGTTGGGACAACAGTGAATTATGGGGTTACTCTTTTAGAGATTTTGCCTGTGGTTGTCTAATTGTTATAGGTATCTATAATGTATCTTCTATCATAAACTTTTTTTAACATCCTTGGATATAGGTAGAGGAAACAGGTTTTACTTTTTAGTCAAATGAAACACAAATATATTGCAAGAATGAAGCATTAGGAAAATGTACAACCAATAACAAAAACTATCTTCACAGGGGTAAGACATGTACTAATTTTATATCCAATAGATTTACTCAAATGAAACATAAATATATTGCAAGAATGAAGCATTAGGCCAATATCCAACTAGTAACAAAAACTATGTTCATAGGGGTAAGACGTACTAATTTTATTATCCAATATATAAAAAGATATGACGAATAAAGATACAATAGATTAAATGGGAAAAAAATGTAAAACATTTCATTGCATTAATATAACCCAAGATCTTCAAGAGAATCAGCATATCACCCCTCATGTTATTTTAAAAACCATGTATTCTAATATATATTTTTAAATTCAAAGATCCAGCTCAGCCCAGTTAAAGTGAATGGTGAACTACAAATATGTAGGCATGCTGGCCTTTGTTATTCCGTGATTTCTTTTTTAATTTCCTTTACTAACATATTAAAAGTTCCCTTCTCATCATGACTTTGGAGTTCTGTTAAAATTTTTATTCATCAAGCTCTCGGTTTTTTCTTGTCGAACCTCTTCCGGATTTTTTTCACTTGTGAGGACATTCTATCAGGTTCAATCTAGGTGGTGTTTTATTTGAATAATGCTACCACAATATTTCTAGCCACGACAGTTATACCTCATTTGCTATCTTGTATATTCACTACCATTGGCATTGTCACATGTGCAACTGTCCCAGATGCGATTGGTCACTCTTCGTTTTTAAGGGCAGAAAAAGAAAACAGTAGAAAACTATCTTAAAAAAATGTGAATTCTACCTCTAATGGCCAACCATGAGGATCTTCAAATTTATATGTCAAATGACTGCACTTTAGATGTAGACAGACATTGAAAGTGGAAACAAATGGGGTCGAATTTGGAATTGTTTTTAAGGGAAAGACCCCAAAAGTTCCTAACTCGTAAACTAGTGGAGGGTCCAAATAATAGTCTTATATTCTTACTCGTTGATAGAAGTACAAAATATAGATTCTTTGTTGTTTTGGGACAGCACCTGCCGTGGTCTACTGGTTTTATATATAAGGTTGGTATCTAGTTATCACAAAGTATTTTAGTATTGTGGGTGTGCGGTCTATCATGCGGTAAGATCGTACCATATGATTCAACGTTATGTGTCAAAATCCACAAAATACTGTTATATGTATGGTGCAGTAAGTATTGTGTATTGCATAGGCTTGACCACACTGCTCACTGACTTTTAATATTCTTGTGGTTTGATGTATGGGATTTTATGTTTATCTGCTAAAACTTGGAGGATTCATACCTTAAGATTTAAAGAAATTTGAGTATGTACCTTAATATAATTTCATTTTTACCCTTTTGGTTTTTTTAATGCATGAAATTCGTGTATGATGTGAAACCTGTTAGGTCTCTCTCTCTCTCTCTCTCTCTCTCTCTACGAATATATTGACGTGTTAAATTTATTTGCATGTTATAAATTGATGCCATTGTAAATGCTAAATATTTTTTTCTTTTCATATATTTTTTTTCCATTTTCTTTTTAATAGTATTTGATGAATAAGGTGAAGAAAAATTTGGAGGATCACAGTTGTGAGTTTATGGTGGATTACTATTGAACTCAGGTAAGACAGTAAACATCCTGGAAAAGTACTCGGAGCTCTTGATTGCATGCCATTTTTCTCCTTGTCATCCTTGCATATCCTTGTCTTATTCATGTTCCAACATTAACACCTAGTGCAACTAAAGATGGTTATTTTGAAGTTTCAGATGTTATTTACAGAGATAGTTTTGATTGAAAAACACATCCCAATCCTGTCAATTCTGTCTCAATTGTTCAAGTTGATTAAAGTGGGAGCTATTCTATTGTTCTAGCATACAAGGCTTGTCTACATTAGTGGGTGGAGTGTATGTCTGGTACGAATGGGCTTCCATCTTTCTTTCATCCTCTTTGTCTGTTTACGGCTTATCAAATTATTTCTAATATTTCTATACCACTTTTAAAAATTATAAACTGTAATTAAATATTTATTTATTATTTATTTTTTACAATAGAAGGCTTAGTATATCACTACTGTAACAGAAGCTTTAAGAAGATTATTTATAAACTTAAAAGGATTTTTCAAAATGCAAGCTTCTAAAAGTAAAGCAAAAATGGGTCCAAATTGAGGATATTTATAGGCTTTTGTGGGTGCCACACATTAAATCTTTGTAATGTTTTGAAACTCACTATTCATAAGAGGCCTATTTCCTAGGGTTTTTCAAAATTTTGGGGGTGCCATGGTTCCCCTTAGCCTGCACATAGTTTTGTCCCTCATCTTTTATGCCAACATCTGAATGACAGGGGCATTGCGAATGCACTGCATATGGAGTGCAGGAAGCAAAGAACGATGCAGATAGCAGGCCCTGTTATTGCTGATTTTATCCTTAATCATATTCGCCATTATCTGAAAGTAAATGACTTTTTTAAATTCTGAATGGCATTGCAGTTTTTCAGCTACCAGCTTGAGCTATTATGTATCCCTTTTTGCAGCTTTTTGTGAAATCAGTTCTGCCTGAACAGCATTCTGCGTGACCAAGTTAAAATATTGTTCAGCACCTTACTTTTCTTTGGGTATTACATTGGGCCTCATGCAACGGCAAAGGAGTGTCGTTGATTCTTTCCCTGAAACTGTTGATCTTAACCAAGGATCTGTTTCTAATAACACTGGTATGAATCAGTCAACTGCCTGGGATAGCATACCAAATCCAACAGAAAGCCGGTTGTTAAATTACATGCTTTCTTCTGGTGAGGGGAACTACACATGCACAAATCCTGTTAGCCATAATGTTCGGAGTTTTAGTGGCTGGGACTCAGGTGAATCTAGTTCTGGTGTGAATCTGAATAATCAAGTCATTGGTGATGGTTTAGAAATGGAACATGGTCGGTCTTCTGTGTTTGGTGCTTGTGCTGGGGTTGATACAAGATCAGTAGAAAGGCGATTTGAACAATCTAATATCCTTCCTCACCAGAGTGTTAATTCTGGGCCTAGTGGCAATCAGGCTGCAGCACCTTCAACTATGCAGTGTTCCAGTTCTAATAATAACAATTTGAATGTAAATTTAAATGCTGGATATGTGGATGTTGGTCATGATGAGCAGGCCATGGGAGCAGGTGCATGCCCAAATCTTTACAAGTTAAGTGGATCAAGGGCAGAGCAGATTTCATCTACTAGGGCATCTTGTGATGATGTTGGGACTTCCTCTGGTACTTCTGGTTACTTGGTGGAGAAAGATGGTGGAACAGATTCTCCTTTGGGCGGTTGGTCATCCTGCAAGAGAAAGGCCCTTGAAGTCAATTCTGGACAGTCTTATACAGGTGGGAGTTCAAGCTGTTTCTCCCAAGCTGAAAACATTGCACGACATTCTGTTCCTGTACGTCATAGTGCATCCAGCAGCTTAAGCATATCTTCACCCCCAATGAACTCTCCCAGTGCTGGTATTACAGAGCAGTTGAACCCAAGAATTGGGGTTGGTACGAGGGGAGCAATTTCTGATGTCTTTCCTCCTCTTAGTGTTGCTGAAAACTCCCCAAGAAATTTTGGTGCAACAGTAAACCAAGGGTATCATGAACCTATTCAGTTTAATATACCACCAGGGAATGCCACAAGGCATTCTAATGTTTGCCCCCCTCACCAATCATCTAGATCTCTCTCATTTACCGATTCTTTGGACTTTAGATCAACAGCTTCAGCGACGAACAATTCAAGCATTCATCGGAATCAGTTTCATTCAATCCATGTCCCTGAACTGTCAAGGAATGCTCTTCCTTTCCCTTGGAATGGGGCCCTTAACTCAAGAGGTGGAACTTCATCAACTTCTCTTATGCTTTCTGGAGAGAGAGGTGCTCCATTACGCGATGAAGCAAACTTCAGAAACAACCCGAGAAACAACACTGACCACCCCATGTTTGTTCCCGCAACTGAGATGAGAAATTTTGTGCAAGAACCAACTAATTGGAGTTTGGCCAGTGGAAATTCAAGCACTTCTAGAGGTGTTCCTTCTAGTTCGCAAATTGGCCCCAGTTCCATTGTATGTCCTCCCTCTACTACTTGGATGCCTCATTCCACTCCCCAAACACAAAATCAGCAAAGAAGATCAGAATTTTCTCCTTGGACTTTGTTTCCAACTTTCGACTCCGAGTCTGGAGGTCAGAGAAATAATTTTCCACCATTGCATGCGGGTCCTTCTTCTTCCTCAGAGGAAATATCGATGTCGCCTGGAGCTAGTAGCCGTGTTCATCATTCACCACATCCAAGGTCCGCATTGTTGATGGAATTACCAGGCGGCGATGATGTTAATGGTTGGCGTGTTTTAGCTGCTGACATTGAGGGGAGACAGAGGCTGGTAACTGAGGTTTGTGTTTTAAATGCTTTATTTATTTAGTTTTTTTTGGTCATATCCAGGTTTACTATTTCTTCATTTTTTAAATTTAAAGTTGAACTACTTTGCATTATATATATATATATATATATATAATGGCAGGTATATAATTTCTTTGTACTTAAAAATGGAATAACAGGATTGCTCATATTTTTGAATTCGAGATAACTGTTCATAGAAATAATCTTTCTGATTGCTCAATTTGAACAGAAGGACACATGGACATTGCTATATATTAAATTATTTTATTTTCTAGAGTAAAGTAATGTTTTTATCCAATATAGTGTTCAATATAGGCATTTAACTCATTTTAAAGTAATAATTTAATATAAATGAATGATTGAATATGCTTTTTAAATACGTGCCCAACCAAAAGTTTCGGACACATATCCCTTACCTCTGTCCGAGCAATATGTGTCCGACACGCCTTGTTGTGTTGATTTATGTCAGGCATCACATGTTCTTTCAAATATTATATGCATGATCAAATATTTCTTTCTTTTATTCGAATGACAAAAAAATATCGACCCATTGCCCTAGTGGTGCCGACCTGTCCACCATTGTGGGAGATTATGGCATTGAATTTTTTGGAGGCACTTCCCTTATGCTTAGTGGATGCTAATAGCTTCCTTACTTCACTGCTTTGAGATGCACTAAAATGAAAGGAGATTGAGAAGAAAGATTTAGCGTTAGATAAATTCAATTACGAGAAACTTAATCTACTGGAATTTATTCTTAACCTGACTCTCAAGTAAAGTTTTGAACTCAAATGCCTACAGGTGGCATTTTGTATGTGTATAAGATCCACTAATAGAGAAACTTAATCTACTGGAATTTATTCTTAACCTGACTCTCAAGTAAAGTTTTGAACTCAAATGCCTACAGGTGGCATTTTGTATGTGTATAAGATCCACTAATAGATGGGTAACCTAGGAATTTCTTTATGGTTAGTTCAGTGATGTGGACCATGCGACTGAAAATATCTTTGTCCTGAAATCCTTGAAAAGTTTACCCTTAGAATGGATTCAAATCAAATTGTACGAAACTTTTTGATGGTTTTCTGCAAAGAAAATTATTATTAGCCAGAAACCTATGTTTATTTCCTAGATTAGCCTAAGAAGAGAAATTGCCATTTGGAGGGATTTAACCTACTGATTTTAAGATAGAATAAAACTAAAAGAACATTTTTTATTAGCAAAATGTGTTCTGTTGATGGCTCAGTTTTTATTTTTTATCCCATTACTGTTATTATATCTGATGGGATGAAAGCTCTCAGCCTGTCGTTGCTCGATTGTTATATGTTTTTAGTGTTACAAGCATTACTTATTCAGAGGATTTACATCCCTGACAAGATCTAACATTTTGTACAAAGTAAAAATCACAGCAACAAAATTTTAACGCAACTTCTGGTTTTGAGAGTTTGCGTAGGTGTTTATTTGCTTGAGCGTGCTATGCACATGCATACCCCTCATTCCACGAGGATTCTGTTTGAGATTAAATAAACGAGCAGACTCTGGTCTACTTTTCTATAGAACGTGCAACTTTCATTTCAAGATGCTGAATTCTCCTGAAAGTACCAATTCCACTAAAACACAAACTTTTGTACTCTTTTGTTAGATTCCATACCATATTGGCTTTCCTTAGTGATTGACTGAATAGATCATGGTTATAGGTCACATTGTTGGTGTAACTGTTGCTACATAACAGTATCGGGTGCCCTGATATAGTTATAGGTCGCTTCACATATGTCATTATTGCCCACTACACCTTGAGATTGCATATAACTGATTGCAGTCAGCTCATGGTTATAGGTCACATTGTTGTGAGGTGTAACTGTTGCTACATAACAGTATCGAGTGCCCCTGATATAGTTATAGGACGCTTCACATATGTATTGAGTTGTATGACCAATATTTCCCACTTCACATTGTGATTGCATGCAACTGATTGTATATATAAAATAAAATCTACTAAAATCTGTTGGAATTCTATATATTTATATATTCAATTCTTCCCAAGTTTATTCTCAGGTTAGATGATTCATTTTTAACCTAAATCTACTCACATAAAGGTAGGAAATGAAGTACAGTTTTGTCCTGGGTTTGATTGGTGAACTAAGTTTGTAATATTCTTATTTGGGATGGATCATAATTACATGTACTTAAAAAATACTGAACTATCAATGAAAAAAATATTTATGTTTCTTTTTATAAAAATTGTATTCAGTTTTGAAATTTTAAGATAACTATAACATATATATTATACACAAATAACTGTGGAAGTGTAATAGCATTCACACAAGAACAAAAACCATTAATTATGTATTTATGTTGTTTTTTTTTTTTACAACAAAATTCTATTTCTGTTTGCATTTGTCTCAGTACTGAGAGATCTGTCACTTGTAAACTAATAATATTTGTCCTTCTATGTAACAGATACGTCAAGTTTTGAATGCCATGCGTAGAGGCGAGAATTTACGAGCTGAGGTTTGATTTTGACTTATAGCATGATTTACGATCAATTTGATGAAACTTAGGGTACCAGAAACAATTCTGGCCTGTTAATTGCAATAATGGAATACCTTACATATGTTGATATGGAGTCATTTGTTCTCGGTTGTTTGTGTGCACAAGCAACTGAAATCTTTTAAGATGGCAAAAAATTAGTAAACACTGTAAACTTGACTGCAAGTCTTCATATATTCTGTCACTAAAACCTTGGTTGAGTGGTCTGCCCTCCACCTTTCTAAAGGAGAGGATGAGGGTTCAATCCATAGTGAGGCCATGTGTTGAGAGTAAATTTACTAATGGGGGACGTGTTCATACATCTAGTTTTTGAAGAAAATTTTCCATTCACAAGATTTTTACTAAAATATCTTTTTACAAGATCGTTTACTTATCTTATATTGATAGCTTTGGCCAAAATTCAATGTGGCTCTTTGTTTTCTTCAAAATAAATGCCTCAAAAGATTTCAAATATTTTGTTGACATATGGTAGGTCATTTCTATATATTATCTGATTTATGGAGGCCATCCCTGCTGCTTGATTTAATAGCTAAAGCTTTGTATTGGTTACATTACGCTGCTTTTTGTGGGCTGTTTTTCCAAGTGTAGTCCATATTGGCACACCTTTATGTCTAGGGACCTCTCTGGGAGAAACTTATGGTTTGGATAGTCACGTTGTATTAACACGCACTGTGTTAAGGAGATTGCCAACATCCTGTTCCCCTAACTCCCACGTTTACAGACTGACTCGCTGCATTAACGTGGACTCTTTGTGATAACTGGGACTGTATGGTAAATGAAACCTCCACTCTCCTACAGTCCTACCTCAAAATGGAACCATCTTTTATTTTTTTGTTAGTGCAAAATTGAATAGCTCTCTTGGACAGGCACCTTGTTAGGCTGATGAAATGTTTTGTTCATCAAGAAACTGGAACTTGCTTATTCACATTAATGGTATGATTGTATGACATATTAACCTGGATTTGGTGATATGTCAGGATTATATGCTCTTTGATCCATTTATAAATGGTGTTGCCGAGTTGCATGATAGACACCGAGATATGAGGCTTGATGTTGATAACATGTCTTATGAGGTAAGTTGGGCAATTCTTTTCCTATCATCAGATTAACATTGGAGGTTATTCCCCTGACAGCATAGTTGGGATCCTCAGGAACTGTTGGCCTTGGAAGAACGCATAGGAAACGTGAACACAGGATTGAGTGAGGAAACCATCTTCCAGGCTATTCCACAGCGAAAACATCTCTCTATCGCAGAAGGACCCGTCCCAAATTTGGAGCCATGCTGTATATGTCGGGTAAGAGCCATCTCTCTCGATTTCATGGGGGGACAATGGTAGAATTGCTTTGTTTGGCAGTTTATTTTCCTATTTACCATCTTGACTTGTTTTCGTTACTGGAATGGCAGGAGGACTATTGTCTCGGAGATGATATTGGGACATTGGATTGCAACCACGACTTCCATGTCAATTGCATTAAACAGTGGCTAATACAGAAGAATCTATGCCCCATTTGCAAAATGAAGGCACTGGATGCTTGAGAGGGAACACCTCTAATCTCAGAGACCAAAAATATTTAAATTGTGAATGGACATTAAACCCGTTGATTCGGTTGATAATATAGTACTGTATCTCAATCCTTCTCTGAAACCACTTTTTTCTTACTTCTTCATGAACACTGCATGGGTTCATGAAAAGAAGAAAGAATTGTAAGTTACAGGAGATTGGAGCATGAGTATGGGATACTGTATACCCTCAATGGATAATTTAAAAGCTATCGAAATAATAGTACTGATGCTATCAAACTTTCAGAAATGCATTCTATGATAGTAATGTCGACAATTTCAAATTTTTTTATTTTCTTTCTCAAAACAAAAGTTGTATGCTTAGTTCTTGGATGATTTGGTGGGTAATAGGATTATAAATTTGTGGTGCATGCCACCATTTAGCCATGAAATCTTATTTTTGAAAAGATATAAACTGATATAAATTTATGTCAGTTGAGCATGTTTGGGAGTTTTTGACATGTGAATGGTAGATGTTGGCAATGTCTATCCTTCTGTTATCAGATTGGGTGGTGGATTTCAACACTTCTATTTTCTTTTATCACTGTACACACTTGAAAATAGCTAGCTCAATGGTGGTCAGTTTTGTTCTTTGAGCATTAAGAGTGGCTATGTACCACTCGTGGCGATGGTTATCTTCCTAACATATTTAGAGGGCCTCCAGATGGTTACTAAGAGTTAGCTTTCTTATTTCGAGTCCGGCCACAATAGAGTAATCTTATTGTTGTACCAGTAGATTGTTTAGTGAATAAAAATTATTATATAATCTGAAACGACATGGTTCTAGCCAATCACAAGACGACAGTTAAACAAATAAGTCTACTTTGTCAACTGGTGATTGGTCGGAACCGGATCGATCGATTGTTCAGTGTACTAGAGAGGATTGGAGTGGGGGAGTAAGGAAGAAGGAGACACCGCGTATGGACAGGAAATTGGCTGGAGGGAGATGAAAACGGAAACGCCAGCCTCAGCATAAGCTCAAGACTCAAGAGATATATGTGAGTATGTTTTGTATGTATGTATATATATATATATATATATATGTAAGTGTGGGGCAGTCTTAGCAAAGAAAGATTCTGGCAACGACAACATCAAAACTAAAAGCCATAACGTCACGACAACGACTCCTAATGATTTTTACTCAACACAAAAGGTCCGATAACGCATCCTTCTGGAACACTAATACCATCATTACTCCTCTTATCTCTATCTCAACTTTGTCTTTGTGATGCAGTCGTATATATGTGTTTATATATATATATATATATATATATATATTAACCAACTTGGCTGCATCAATTATATGAGTCAGATGTTGTTTTTCTCTTCTTATTTTCCTAAGAAAGTGTCACCAAATCAATTTTTGTACTATGTAGAAGCTTTTGAACAAATAAATTGTTAAGATGGACAGGAATTTCATAATTCATGGCAATTAGTGTACTGTGCTAGACTAATGTGGCTATTATCAATTTATCACACACCCAAAAAATCGAAACACCACACCTCTATATATTATACATATGTATATATATTATATTATATTGTGTATAAATGTAGAGAGAGAGAGAGAGAGAGAGAGAGAGAGAGAGGAAAATGATAATTAATTTAAAAAGCAAAAATGGACAAGGCAAGCCGCAGTTATGAGTGGGAGATTTTTTTTGTTGATAAATAACGGACGTTTCCTGCCTTGTACTGCTAATTTGATGACGTTTTTTCTTTGTTGAGTAATGGGTCTATGAGTCCCAGCCGCTTCTATGCCACGTGACCAATACTCATCTTTCTTTTCTGTGTCTCCAACTTTAAACCTCAACCAATTTACATAATACTACCATTAGCTTGAATAAAACATACACAATAAGACATTAATTACCAATGCAGCATATATATATCTTTCTTTTGGAACAACCACAAATTAATTAAGCAACAAACGCTTTAAAAGTGGGTTATAAATTGTTAAAATCAATAAATTGATATGAACCAAACTAAACCAAACATGCACTTTGGTTCAGTTTTAATTCTAAAATTTTGAAATTATTATCAAACAGTAAATATATATATATAGAAAAATTTTAAATTTGTCGAAAGTCCACAGTGGACCGAGAGACATAAAGAGTGGAATGCTGTGGTGAGTCCCACACCCAATAGCATAGTCACTTGTCATCAATCAACGCGAGGCACCATTCATAATAATAATATAATTATATAATACTTACAGTTATATAACACAAAGTTACATTTAATACTTTGTTTATACAACATTTAATTATAGCGCAAAACACAAAATTACTCTATTTTTTTTCAGAAGACATTTAAAATTAACAAAGTCAATTTCTTTGGAGAAACAATCTAAATGAATTTGAAGTTTAATTTTTTTTTTAATTACTTATTAATTATTATACAATGTTTCATGTCTGTTTGAGGAGTAAAATATTATTATATTATTGCATCGACAAGAAATAAATTATAAATTTGTATTTGCTTTCGTATTAGTATATGCCTATATGGCGAGTTTGTTTTCACTATATATGTATATATATATATTCAAAAAGTAAAAAAAATCGTGATTCGGATACAAATATGTGCCAATATTTTTAATTTTTGTTTCAATTTTCAAGAAACCGTCATAAAAAATTATTCAATTCTAATTTAGAGTGAAATGGACTAAACCGAATTGTATACACCATGGTAAAATTCTTGACTAACTGCATGGTCATAAACTTTGTAATATATATGGTACACTAAATATTCATAATCGAACAATTATTCCACAAACTTGACATGAGGCATTATATAATGAATTTTGGGTATATATATATATATATATATATATATATATATATATTTTTTTTTCTAAATAAATCTACCTCATTCACTTTCTAAGTTTCTACCTCATAAATAAAAGTAGTACTGTAGAGGAAGGTGATTATACAGATCAAACTTTCATCTAATGAGTAATGACTTATTTTATCCATGTTAGAAGTAATGTGCATAATGTATATTAAGGAGGTTTGCTTAATTTTGAAATGTAAAGAAAAAAAAATTTTATATTTTAAGGAAAATGATAAGAGAATCGAACCAAACAACTGAATAAAAGGTCGAATTTAACGTGGCCCAGTCACGTCAGATTATTTTCTAAAAAGATAACTCCTACCTCTTCCCTTCTCTCTCCTCTCTTCCTCCTGATTTTTCTTTTGTATTCAATCTTATCTTTGATTTTGGTTTTGTCTCTCTTTTGATTTCGTAAAATTGAAGATAAAATAAAAAAAAATTAAATTTCTTCATGTTTTGCAAATACAGAATCACAAAACCAAAACAGAACAAAAAAGAAAAAGAAAAAGAAAATAAAAGCTATAACTGTTGTTTTTCTCATTCAAATTTTGTATCCATAAAAATCAAATAGAAACTTTGAGAAGATTCATCCGTTTCTCTTCTCTGGATTAATGACAACTCTTGTGTGGATATATACTTACCAAAAAAAAAAAAAAAATTCTGCATAGTTTTCGTCTGGAATTGAAAAGATTTATTCTTGGAAGATTTATGAATAGAGAAAAGTAAGTAATCTTGAAAAAGGAGCCGAGGATAAAGAATTTTGGATCTTGTTTTTAGAATACTTCGGATATGTGTATCTTAAAAGAGGAGATGTATAAGAAGAATTGGTGAAGAACTAGACACAGAGAGGAGAAAGAACGAAGAGGAAGAGAAAGAAAAAGAAAAAACTGGGAAAGAAAAGATCGATGATAAGGAGTTCGTAATAAATTATTTGACGTGGACAAAGCCACGTAAGATTCGATGTTTATTTCGGTAGAAACGTTCGATTTCTCTATCACTGCTTATATTTTAATATAACATTTTATAATATCATATCTTTATTTTCATGAATGAATTTGATATATTATTCTAATTAAATGACTAGAATATTGGAAGAACTAAATAACTAGGAGTATTAATTTACGTTAATCTATTTATCATTTTTCTCAATTCTTGATAATCCATAAATGAACAATATAAATATCAAGATAACTACAATTTCAAAAACAACAACAACAACAGTAACAATTTAATTTTAACAATTTAATTTTTATTCTGTATTGTCTTCACAAAGTATCTGTTTGTGTTTGGGTTGATGGTACTGCATTTGAAATGATAGGAGGATAATATATTAATTATAAAAAATGTCACGTGATTAACCGACAAATTATAACAATCGAGCTGTCACGGTCTCGCGATTGTGGTTAACATCCCTCTTAAATAGAAAAATGACATATGTCACCTCCCGCCAAAAGAGGTACGGTACTTAGGCGACATGCGTTGGGTGGCATGTGTTTTGCATGAGAAGTGTAGAGAGGTATCGTATAGAGTTTTTCTGAATTGTGTGGAGGATTCTAGACTACTATAGAAGTGTGAAAAGTAGCGAATGACAGAGGTTGTATAGATTTTGGTAGAAAATACCATAGATTTACGATATAACTTAGCGATATATCAAATTAGATGTCTATAAATTGAATAGATGCGTCTTTTGTAACCAACAATTCCTAGAATTGCTAATAGAGTAGTGCTATAGCACCGCAAAAGTTGTAAAAGGTAAAACAAATTTATTCAAAAGAAGAAGAATGTAGAGGAGCGATCCAAATAATTGAGCCTAATAGGAGTAAAACCGAGCGGCACATAGAAGATGGGTGAGTGCTCTACTTGGATCAGATAGGAACATAATCAATGTTCCATTTTGCTTCCATTGAACACAAAATAATTTACCGTAACAATTCTACCATGCAATCTGAGTGAAAATTATACAGGTAAATTGCAGTAAAAATTGAAATTATATATGTTGTTTAATCCAAAAACTATTTATAAATGGTGAGAGATATATTTACATTATATTAGAAGGCCCAAATATCATTTATAAAATTTATGAATTATCCCGTTCAATTTGGACAAAAACCAAATCCATTCATAAGTGACAGAAACTACTACTAAAATGAAGACAAGACTGACTTTTGCACAAGAGATCTGCCATCCAAATAATATATAACACACTGGATTAGCACTCTTTCGAACCAAATACATGCACTTTATACATAGATGGTGATAAAGACATCTGTGACAACTAATCATTACATATGCATGTAACGCTCGCATATTACCCCTTAATAAATAGACAGTTAGCATAAGTCACAAGATAAGAACATATTTAATAAGGGAAACACTGTTCACTTCATAAAGCAAAAAAAAAAAACAATATTTTATAAGTATGAGAGAAAGAGAGCGCAAGAGAGAATGGTGACTGTAGTATCCATCCTCGTGAAGGACGAATATAGTTTTGACAACTGGCATTGTCAAATTCACATTTTGGAGCAGTCAATCTAAAGAATGACCACTGCATTTGGTATAATAGAGAATGGGCATTATGGTAAATTGGACACAAATGGTGTATTGTTTAGCCAGGTGGGACCATCATTATCGAGTGGGACCCAATTTTTGTACCACGCGCTTTGGCTATCCGTTTTTGTTTTGAAGCCAGTAACGGCATTTTGGCTTATGATTGTATTTTGGGTTCTTCCTAAGCCAAAGCGAATCATCTTTCTCTCTCACCATAACTTTGCCACCTTTATAAACGCCTCCAAAGTCCTAAGTCCTCCTCACCCTTCTCCCCCCTCTTCTTAATTCCCTCACATACACACACACACACTCTCTCTCTCTATATATAAATATATCTATCTTTCTCTTTCTAGCCAGCCATGTCTGATCAATTTGGAGGCATCCATGAAAGCTGCTTCTTGTGGGAAAATCAACCATGGGATTTCTCGAATTCGGATAACTCGGGCGGGAGCAATGAAAATTTGGTTAAAAAACTAGCCGATTCGAGTTCAAACAGCCCGGTGCTGACGCCAAAGGGGAAGGAAGTGATGGTGGCCTCCGGGAAGAAGCGAAGCAAGAATGGAAAGGGAATTAGTACTGGTGAGATGAATGAAGAAGGAAAGGGTGGTGGTGGTGGTGGTGGTGAGTCAGATCACGAGATACATATATGGACAGAGAGAGAGAGGAGGAAGAAGATGAGAAACATGTTCTCTAATCTTCATGCTTTGCTTCCTCAACTCCCTCCTAAGGTAATCCACAGATTCAAGATCGAGTTTGACATATATATGAGTGTGTTTATATATATAGATATGGTGCAGTAGTTGCTCATGCAAGGGAATTTTATATTTCTATCTGTTTATGTCCACCTTTCCTTTTTCCCTCCTTTTTGTTTGTCTTAGCATAATCACTCTCTTTCATATATATGACAGTTTTGGTAGACAAGTCACTTCTTCAAAAGAAAAAGGCATACCTTTTTATGAAAATGCCAAGGTTTTTTTAGCATCTCATTTTGTTGGTGATATTGATTTTTTATTTTTTTAAAAGGTTTTTTAGGGTTTTCTAAATTAAGTATGTAGACAAGGAGATTATCAGCTAATACAACTGATACGACACTTGGTTTTCCATGAAAATCAAGAATCTGACCTAGATTTATCATTTATATATTTCTATCAGTATATATATATATATAAATATATGAAGGTCTTACAAATATTAATTACTTACCAAGTTATGAGCCACCAAAGTCTCGTATTTAAGTGATGACATATTTAACAATTTTGTGCTTCTTTTGGAGGGTATATATGATTGACTACTACTAGTTGTATATATAAGAAATTCAACTAATATGCCGAAACCCTCTCTAGCTTCTCCTAGTGAGGGTTATGTGTGTCTTCAAGTATATATATCCTTTTATTTTACTCCCACCATTCACCAAGATTTCATTTGATTTCAGAATGCCAAAATGAGTATTCCATATAGTATTCCATATATATATATATATATATAAACACATATGTGATTTCAGCTCACATATGGTAACTATATTTGAGTTTCCAAATCTTATACTACATTTTGGACAATTTGACACAAGTTCCTTAATTAAAATCTACTTTTTAATAGCAATTTCACATTTATTATATTTTTAATCAACACAAACACACACACCCATTGCAGAAAAGTAAATGGTTTTACATACTTTTAATTAGTATATATCTTGAACAAAGAATATTGTACAGGCGGACAAATCCACAATTGTGGATGAAGCAGTGAACTACATAAAAACCCTACAACACACTCTACAGAAGCTTCAAAAACAAAAGCTAGAGAGACTCCAAGGTGTTGCGACTATGAATAATTTCGATACATCTATGATCACCCAACCAAAGCTTGCTATGGAGGTCACAAGGGAAGCATTCTTAGCTGATCAGGTATCTTCCAGCTGTGACAATATGGCTATGACTACAACAAACTCACTTTCGTTCTCTCGATTCGCTACCACCTTTCAAACATGGACTTCTTCCAATGTCATCCTGAATGTTTGTGGCGATCAAGCTCAAATTAGCGTGTGCTCGACGAAGAAGCCTGGCCTCCTAACCAGAATTTGCTTTGTGTTGGAGAAGTACAAACTAGAGGTGGTATCTGCTCATGTTTCATCAGATTATAATCGGTGTATGTACATGATTCAAGCCCGTGTAAGTTCATTACTCTTTGTTCTTCTTGGTCTCCATTAATTCTGATCATCAACACTTCTACTAATACTATATATACCTGTTTAATTATGTCATATACTTGTACCTAGAACATTGAACTATTTTTTTTTTTTTTTTTTTTTCGATAACTGAGATGCCTGGGGCTTTTGTCCCAACTAATCCACGGACCGTGCAAGGTGTCCACATGGATCGGGTAAAAGCTTGAACTAAACTAATGGTTCAACTAATGTTGGATGAATTTAAGTGGGTTTTTATTAGGGTTGCAAATGAACCAACCTGAGAGGAGATAAACTCTAGATGGGCTCGGTTTGAGGTCATGACGAGTTCAAACGTTAAGCTTGAAATTGGCTAGTTATGAATTTGAAAAGCTCAAGCACAGTTTGATCTCATATTTGTTCAGGCTCGGTTCAATCTCGATTTGAGCCCATAATCATAAAGTTGCTAATGAAAATTTTCAATTAGTTCACTTGCCAAGTTTGTTTATGAGTCTTTATTAGTACAGTCCCCTTCCATGGAACTTAAAGTACTGAATATACAATATATTTAATATTCCCATCGAATATATATAAGCCTTGAAAAATCATGTAAGGAACCACAACATATATGAGCTAGGCTCAATATTATTTGAGATCAGTTTGTTTGTTAAATGATCTAAAAAAATTGAGGTCGAGTTTGGCTTGTTTGATTAACAAATGAATCCAAACCAAATTTTAAATAAGCCGTATTCGCGTTGTTTATCACTTTAGCAGCTAGCCTAATTCATGCATGTCATTTAGATAGGTTCTCTAAAAAGAGGAATGTTGAATTAGGGTGACAACAATAGAAAATGCACATAGAGGGCCACTCCAAGTGTGACAATTTATGCATAAAATAAGTGCAGTTACTCGAGTTAACGTACTAATAAAGTCTTATATAATTAAATAAATACATATGTATTGATATAAATTCCAAACTTATATTTGGGGGAAAAAAAAAATTCTAAGATATAGTTTGTGTCTGCAATTTTGTGTATGCATGTTAAACTATTTCCGCTATGATAAAAATTAGGAAGAAATTAATATAAGAATAGAAAAGCACAATTAACTAGTACATCAATACACACACACACACACACACATGCTCATTGCAAATTATGTATTCTTTTCCTTAAATTAATTCTACATGGGATCGATGCATGTATTAATCTGCAGGCAAGTGGAGTTCCAGATCAGTTCCCGGAGACATTTCCAGTGGAAGAAATATACAAGCAAGCTGCAACAGATATAATGGCGTGGGTTTCTTGCTGATGATTCTGGAAATTCAATCCCAAAAATGCTGCTCTTGTGATGGAGAAAGCATGCTGAAGTTATTCCCCGAGCATAAATTCACAAAAAATTGTACTCGCTGTCACTGCCTATCGATTTTAGGATGGAAAGATCTCCTGTCCATCATCATTGCCTAGCTAGATTTCTTCTTCATAGTTTTGGCTATATAGTTTATGATTGCAATGGCAAACATATATATAGATCATGTGTTTTAGCCAGCCATAGCTGCCTGCGAGCTGAAACTTGTGAGTTCAATCATGTGCTTTTCAAAATATATAAGGTTTAGTAATTCAAGTATCTATATATGGTAGAGAAAGTGTCAAATATTACTACATACAAACCCTCTATATATCTTCAAGAATCTCTCTCTCCCTCTCTGCATGCATTCTTCTACCTTGCGTTGTAATTACTATGAACTAAGTTATTATTATTATTTTTGCTTTGTGTTCATTTATGATTTTATCTTTGGGAAATTGAAAAAAGAAAAATAAAATTCAAGAATAGAGAATAAAACAGTCTCTACAATAATCTTACAGGTTTTAGAAAATGAAGTGAATTTATTTGGAAGTGAACATCTGTATTAATTAAACTGACTGCCCGATCTCAATGTTGAGGGAATAATTGGACATCCTTCATATACCCTCGGCATAATCACAATTGTCTTCATAATTCATATATATATATATATATATATATATATATATACACTGATGTTTATGAGTGAGAAGAGGGTAAATCAAGATTTTCATCATTGAATTTTCGTACACTACCAACACAAGAAGCATGGATTGTCCAGTGATTTTTTAATTGCAATAGATAATTATATTACTAATAATGCTCTTCATTTGATTAAGATGAAGCTTGCCATTGGTTGAAGGAGCTAGCAAGAGTAGGGTTTTCTTAGTGTTCTTCCTCACTCACACCAATCATGTTTCACAATTGTTAGGGCCTGCTTTATTTAGTTTTCTAATTAAGAATAATTTTTTTATTTTTTGGGAACTGAAGTGCTTGATTGATAATTTCTGATCATACCTATTATTTGCAAAATAAGTGATAAAAAAATATATATATTTTCAAATAACTGTCTTCTATAATTTTCTAAAATCTTTTAATTGTCACATGCACACTTTAACTTATTTTTCTTAAAAAGGGGGAATAAAGTTATTTCTCATCCTTATTTAATGGAAAACTAATTGCTTTGATCAACCATCAACGATATGATAATCTGTTTTTTTGTCACTAATTTTATCTAAGCTTAAGCTCTCCGGAATAATGGTTGTAAACCGCTTTATTTATAATCAGTCACCAATGATATTGATAACTCTCTGCATAATTGTTGTAACTTGTAAACATATTTATCTATAATCAACCATTAATAATAAGATAACCTAACATTTACCAAAAACCAACCACCAATGATACGATAATCTGAACTGTTAATTGTCGCGATAACTGTACTGTTAATTTGTTCAGCCACCAATGATATGATAATCAGTTGCGGTAATTGTAGTAAAGAGCATGGGCTATTGTGCAATCTAGATGCCAAAACATAGTTTAAGAGGATTATGCATCGCATATATTAGCATGGGAAGGTTGGTTAATTATAAAGTTCAATTGAGTGAAAAGAAAAAAAGGTTTTTTATCATATTTTTCTTAGGCTCTAGAGATTGGAAGTTGAATTTTCCCCGAAATAGTTTATGGGAACCAAAAAGTAGTAAAAAGAAAAGAAAATGACTTGTAAATTTAAATAATACTCCTCTACTACTCAATTTTGTTAGAATAATTTCATTTGCACTAATAAGAGACACCGAAGTGCCAGAGTGGAGCTCATACATCCATTGGATGGTTGAGGTGGGATCCACAAACTTGCTCTCACTTGAAGCATCCAAGGAACCACAAACCAAATCCACAAATCAAATGGAGCATCCAGATTTTTGTGGGCCTTATGGCCTCCTAAGTGGCCCACTTAATGAGAAATTAGTGCCTGCCAGAGTAGCTGTCGTCTGTGCAGCAACACATATGGGCCCTCATATTCTATCAAATCAATAGGGCTGAGTGCCAAGCTCATCAACCGTGCACCAGCAGAAGACCCTTATTAAGCCCAATCCATTTATCACATGTCAGTATCCTGGCCCAAGAGTATCTGTTGGAAGGCCTTTACTAACCCAATATAGAAAGTGATTTATGCTCTTACAAGCAATACAAAATTCAATAGAGAGTGGAATATCTCATTTGTAAATTGTGGAGGGGAAATTTTTCTAATAATTTCCTGATGCACATGGAACATAAGTATTGGATGTGTCTGGTGGTGGATTGCTCGATAGTACAATATCGAGATAAAAAATTTAAAATATTCATGCATCACATTTCCCATGGCCCCATTTCATTAAGTTGTTCTAGCATTAGATAAGATTATAATATAAAAAAAAATCGAAAATTGAAGCGTGACATAATGGATAGACAAAACACCCATTGATATTTGAAGGAGTGATTGGTGGCATCCAAAGAATTCAACTATCCAAATATTCAAAAAAGTTGAAGACACACATCAATTGTTGGGTCCCAAATTGAAGCAATAATAGGGTTTGAAAAGAGGAATGGGGATTCCTATTTGGTCCAAATTGTGACCAATGAAGAGTTGAAACAGAGTTAGTGTTGGGGGCATGTGAGCACTAAATAGTAATAGCCATCACAATTCACACAACAAAAGCAAAATTAAGATTGTGACCAATGAAGAAGAGTTGGAATAGAGTTTGTGTTGGGCAAGTGAGCACTAAATAGCAGCCATCACAAATCTTGACACCACCAGAAGGAAAATTCTAAAATGGATAATGTATGATTCCATGAGTCACATTCCATAACCATGTGAATGTCTCAACACAAGTAGCTCTTTTTGGCTCACAATCTCCTTTTCCATTATGGGGTGGAAGCTTTGAGACCCCACTAGTGTTGGTAAACAAACATATCCCCCATTTTTCATTTCAACCATATGCATTTCATGTGCATGCGCCCACTTTACCTTCTTTTTTGGTCAAAGCAGTTGAACCATCAATTCACACCCAATATGACGCTCTATTCTCTCTCTCCAACCTTCTCATGGAGTAATCAACATAAATTATTACTGTAAAAATAATAGTAATAATAATGAACTTTTTAAAAATTAGGATATAGTACAGTAACACTTGTTGAAATTTGTCAAAAGAATACCCATATACAAGTTACCTACTTTTGGATAATAACACCCCCTTATAAGATTTGCAAGTCAAAAGTCTTAAAACATATAAAAAGTCAACTTTACCTTTCACTATTTTATTAATTTTAATTATAAAATATCAAAATAATTAAATGACCAAATTACCTTTTTCATCTTTCTCACTCTGTATATATATCCATATACACACACACACAACAGCTCTGTCACAGTGCCTATATACATATACACACACACACAACAACTCTGCCACAGTGCCACCGCCACCGCCACCGCCCATCTTCCCCTCCACAACCACCGCCCACCAATCTAAAACTACCAATATAGTACGAAAAAGAGAATACGAATTAGAGATGCACACCAAAGAAGAGCCGAAGAGGAGCTCTCTACCACCGCCACCGCCACCGCCACCTTCTCGTCGTTCCATTCGAGTCGCTCAGAGTTCATCGATTTAGGTTTGTTGATTTAGATCTCCTCGCCAGAATAGTACATCGATTTGGGTATGTTAAACTTTGTTTGTTTGGCCAACGATGATAAAGGTGTGATGATGATGTCGAGAGGTTGTCGGTGAGCATTAGGTCGAGAACTGGGGGTGTTGATGATGCGACGGCGGCGGGGGAGGCTGAGGTGTGGTAGAGGCGGTATATGTAGTGTGTGTAATATATATACATACATATATACATACAGAGAGAAATGAAGAGAGACTGAGGTATGATGATGATGATGATACGAAGGCGGTTGCGGCGACTGAGGTGTGATGATGATGCAGTGACGGTGGCGGAGGCAGAGGTAGTATATGTAGTGTGTGTGTTGCTCATATATATAAATATTTACATACAGAGAGAAAGGGAGAGAGGCTGGTTTGGGTTTGGGTTTGGGTTTGAATTAATCCAAGGATATTTAAGTTAATAAAATGTCAATTTGATATGGAAGGGTAATAAAGTCAATTCATTATTCTTGGAGTTTGTCCCAGAATAGGATAACTTGTATCTGGACAAACTCAAGTGGTTACTGTACTTTTCCCAAAAATTTAATAACATAATAAATAAACCATAGTTCACCATTAGGGATAGCAATGGAGCGGGGTGGGGCGGGGATCTCCTTCCCCATCTCCATCCTCGGTTAAATTTTTTACCCACATCCCCGCCCTCATACCCGTTTAAATTTCAACTCCCTCCCCCGTCCCTACTCCGCCCCGCCCCGCCCGCCACATTAACCCCTGTCCCCGCCCCACATAAATTTTTTTAAATTCCAATTTACGTTCAACAAAATCAACACAACTATAATATTTTTCAACAATAATTTAATAAAGTTTCAGCACAATTATAACAATTTAAAACTTATCATTTCAACCTGATCAAACTTATAGCAAAACTACATATAACATTTTTTGGAATAGTCTGAAAATTTTCAACATGATCAATCAAAACAAACAACGATTATGCTGTGAGGGAATAGATCTTGGGTTTCAGAAGTAAATATTATATATATATATATATATATATATATATATATATATATATATAGTTATGTAATTTAGTAATATTTTATAACAAGTAAGGAAAGTTTTGTAAAAATGCACTATTAACAGGGCAAGGAAGGGCGGGGTTATCCTCTCCCAGCCCCACCCTGTCCCCCGAGGGTTTCAAATACAATCCCCATTCCCTCCCCCATTTACATAAATAGGTCCCCAAACCCATCATAACAGGGGCGGGGACCCGCCGAGTACGGAGATTTTACCATCCGTATTCACCATCATCTAAAAATTTATGTATAACAAACTATGTTGGCAATCATGCCATAAGTTCTCAATAGTACACCAAATCCAAATAACAACACAAACACCTTAAAATAATAAGGTGAAGTAATAACAAATCGCCTAATTTGGAGGATATGAATGTACTCTTATTTTTTTTCCAAAAATGTGTATGATAGTGTATCTCACACATATTCATAATTATTTGTATTAAATAATTTTCAAATATTTGGTTGCACATAGTAGTATACATTTTCAAATATAATCTGATAAATAGAAAGAGATATACATCATGACTAATTTGATCCCTATATATATATATATATATATATATATAATTAGTATTAACTTGAGAAGAAATTATTATTATTTTTTATAAAAAAGAGAAACAAATTGAATAGTCACTTTTTTTTTTTTTACACAAAACACAGCTCTAAAAAGGCTAGCAAAACCCTTACTTTTCTCTCCAGTCCTTTCGCTCCTCATGTTTAAAACTAAATAGGAGATGAGGTCCTCATTATTATTATTATTATTGTTGTTATTTAAACTTAGTTTAAGTTTTTTTTTTTTCCACACAAATATCAAAAGTAATCCTTTTCCAAAGCTTTCCAACTTTCCTTAATTCCTTTTTTCAACAAAATTACATTATAATAATTCTCTATGTACCATTCTAAATTCTTAATTTATCCTTGTTCTTTTTCTATTTTTCTTCTCTTTCCCTACAATTACAAAAATAGAAATTCCAAGAAGATAATCAATGATCAAAACGGAACGACGTCGCTGAAAGCAAAATCATCAGAATATGCAATCGAATCCTCTGGCCATGAATCCCGCAGCAGCTTCAGCAACAACTGCGCTTTTCGCTTCGCTCGCTCCGTGCAATCGCTCTGAACCAGCAGAAGCAGCTGAGTCAACACGCCCGCCGCCACCGCGTCGCGCTGAGTCTGCTCCGAATCCGAGCAGAGCGAGAGGAGAGCTCCGGCGGCGTACTCCGTTGCTCGATCTGAGATCTTCAGTATTATCTTCACCAGGAGCGGGACGGTGAGCGCGTGGCCCGCAAACGCCGCGCATCCAGACGGAATCCGGCAGAGCAGCTCCACAGTCGCCAGCGTCCTCTCCGCGTCGCATTTCTCAAAATCCGCCAATCTGTCGATTAAAGCCTCCACGGCTCCGGCGGCAACCGCCTTTTGACGGTTCTGCTTCACCAAGCATAAAGCGAACAGCGCTTTGATTCCGACTTTCAGAGCTCGCGGATACGCCAATGGACAGTTGAGAATTTCGACTATTCCTTGAAAGATTTCATCGGCATTGGTGATTTTCGCTCGGATATCCGGCGATCTCGTTCCGGTAACGACGGTCTCAATCAGCGCCGCCGAGTTAACTCGGACCTCGATTGAAGAATGGAATAGAAGATCCACGAGGTAACCGAATCGTTCCGGATCGGAGGTAACAAACACACACTCCGATTCAGAAAGCGGAAACAAGGATAGAATAGCGAGAGACTCGTGATTCAACTCGGACGAGTCAGAACTTGTATTGGAGAAGATTATAGACAATAGGATTTCACGAGCATTGTGACCGGAGATCACGGATCGATTCTTCTCCGATTCACGAGCGAGTCCTTTCAGTCGTCGAAGCGCGGCGAGACGCGAGTGATTCGGAGTTGTCACGGACGAGGCTTGACTCAGTAGGGTCCGAACCGTGGCCGGGTCGGCGGGTTGTTTCGGAGTGGGAATGCGTTCGACGCCGAACGAGCGGTTGGCGACGCACCATTCCTGGATGAGCCGTCGGAGGGTGTGGTTCGGGATGAGGGTGAAGTCGGTGAGTGGCGCGCGCGTGACCGGGCACGTGACATTCCCCATGGCTACCCACGACTCGATGCTGGCCCGGTCGTAGGTCTGGCCGGTGCTGACCGTGACCGGATCGCGCATGAGCTCGAGCGAGATCGGACACCTGAAGTGGTATGGGATCTGAACCCCAACATCCAATGGCTCTAAGCTCCCAGGCATGTTTGCTTTCTCTCTCTCTATATGTATCTGTTTCTCTCTCTAGAAGTATACCATATCTAAGGTGTCTGCAAATTCTCTTACCACTCTGTTCCGCTTTGCTTTCTCTTATACGAATTGGAACAGAGGGATATACCAACAGGGCCATGGGATAGGACGACTCTCTCTGCCCTTATCTGACTATCCTCCACACGTGTGCTATTTGCTTAACCCATAACCCTTTACACATTATTCATAGTATAGTATGGTGGTCCTATGGTCGAGAGTGTTGAGCGACTAGCGGGTCCCACTTTTAGGTTACAAACTAATGACTGTTCACATCTAATTATTAATTGGTTGATTAATTGTTTGTAACAGTTTGAGGTTGATTGTTGCATTATAAATGAATTTGTTTAATGCTAATTTTGAATCAAATCAATTTTTATTGACTTCTTACAATCAAAATCCAAATTTAATTTCGATGCACGTACTACACTGAGTTCAAATGCACTCTTAAATTAACATTATTATTAAAATTTGGATTCGGAACATAGGACACATAATCTTTTAGTAAAAACTTCTCAAATTGATCCGGATTACATAAAAAAATCACAAAGTAGAGATAAAATTGTTTTAGCATAAAAAAATTCTGATAATTTGTTTCTTTTTTTATTATATTTGAAAGTATTTGTAAAATGTAATAAAACTGTTGGTTGTTATCATTATGAATTAATATTTAGTAGATTATGTTGCAATTTTTTCTTGGTTTATTTCATTAAACAGCAATTTGTTATTATAAAACATAAATTTTATACGAAAAATGAATATACAAGAATTTTCTTCTACCTCTTCGGCTATATTAATTATCTTATTTACTTTCTCAAACTTGTTTATAAAATGCATGTTATATGTTTGTAATAGTATCTACTTTAAGAATATTTATAAATATGTATTGAGTTCAAATGATACTTAATTTACATTTATTTTTATAAGCACAAAATCCAAGTTCTTTATCAAAATAATAAAATTCAAGGGAAAAAATTATATAAATTCATTCCTGAGTTAAACAAAAAAGAACGTAACAATGCAAATTGTATAGGTGGATTGTTGTTTATGACAATCAACGACATAAATATCTTAAAGAAGAGATTATATATCGTATACTTATTTGACATTTTGCTGTAAGGAAGAAAATTTTAAAAAATTTAAAATCTTGTGGTCTAATTTTAAAGTGAATGGTGAAAATTTGAGTACCCGTGAATATATGTTTTTTGTCAATAAAAAAACATAAAAAAAGAAAGAAAGTTCTAAAACCAGTCCAATTGACACTTCTTATAAAAATCAATTATTAGCGGTCTAAATAGTCTATAGATATGGTTTACATCACTTTCTTTTGTTATAGAATCTTACTTATCCGTGACACAAAATATATAGCTCAAAAATATATTAGTATAATGAATAATTCAGAGCCACGTGTAATTTTTATTCTAATAAGTCCAAAAACACCAGAAAATTGTATAGTAAGCTCAAAGATCTCACAGTTATCGCAAACTGGTACATACTCGTAGTACTTTACTGTTTTATCCTAAATCTCTTGTGATTAGGGGAGTAGAGTTTCAGGCGAGAAGTTTCGAGGAAACTTAAGGGCACGAGCGATGCCAAAACCCCCCACACACTACACACACATAGTCACACACACAAATTCTCTCTCAAACAAAACAACAGTACCAACATGCACACACTACTCTCTATATTAAATACTTACTACTAGTAATTAGTGTATGGGTGGGTAGACTGGCTTGATTTACAGAGGTATTGGTGGGTGGTCAATGGTCAAAGATGAACATAGGAATGTGCGGGGCCAGGTTGTTTCACAACCTCATTATTCGAGCCAAAAAGCTATTCTATGGGTGGATAACACAGACAGGGTGGCCATTTGACTAGTGGGGCCCTTCTCGAGTGGACGATGTTGATTATGTTAGACCCTAATCTCTGGAGATTATTAGTTTATTTTGCATCATACGCAGCTTAGTGGTGCAATCAAATTAAAACTGGAGTTGTGAATGTGGGACACCGGTGACACTAGTTATTATTTTCAGTTTCAAAATAAATGTTTACTTTATTTTTTATTTTTGAATAGAATATTTTATTTACTTTCTTTATTTTATTATTATTATTTAATTCTTTTCATAAAACCCCTAACTTTTTACTTTAATTGTCAAAAGAATTGGGATTTTATTTATCATCAAGTAGATGGTAAACTTAAATATTCAAATAAATTTTAAATTAATTCTTAAAAATCACATCTAAAAAAGAAAAAAAAAATCAAACTAAACTCAAAACATAAAATAAAAAAAAATAAAAAATAAAAAATTACCATTCCCATCACCATTCAAATTAATTTTACAAATCACATCAGAAAAAAAAAAAAAAATCCAAACGTAAACTCAAAACATAAAATAGAAAAGAAAATTAAAATAAACAAATTACCATTCTCATCACTAGTAATGATATTCAAGCCACTTGTTAAGTATATTCCTCATGGTGAAAGAATCAAGGATTGGCCGCTGAAGTGGGACTTCGTTTTAGGAATAAAAATTGCTCACCCAATATCTACTCTACCATGAGTTTAATTTTTTTACTTTGAGAAGTAGGGCTAACAAGTGCCTTTGAGAGTCATTTTTCTTTATAATATATTACCGCATATAAGTTACTCCATATTATTGACTTATTAGACACATTTGATTATATTTATGTGAGTTGAGAAAGTCTATAATACTCCACGGGAGGTGAGCGGGCCATATCCCCGGAGTCTCTCAATTGATGAATCATTCATCTAATGGGTTCTACCACCACATCTAACGAATAGAAATCTCAAGGGTACGGTACAGATATTGTAGACTTTCACTTTTTTCTTGTCAGTTCACTTTTTTAATTAAAGAGTTTCTATTAAATTGAACCATTAAATGTGAATAGGCGAGAACTTCAACAGCCTCCTCACGTGTGATTTTCTTTTAGTCCAACACGAACAAATCATATTATATGAAGAGCCTCCTAATATTATTACATGTGAATACAACACAAATCATATTATACGAAGAGTCTACTAATATTATTACTTGCGAATATGTTGTATTTTCAAAACAAAATTGTTACGTTATAATATTTTAATATAATTTATTGAATGGGATTGTCACATTTTCAAACTAAAACGGTTGCATGATTGCTACATTTGTGATGTTTTTATGCTATATCTTGTTCAGTTTTTAATTTAAAATGCACATAACAATGTATGATCTTTGTAATCAAGCACTAATAAAATTCAATGAAAATAAACACCTTAAGAAGGCGGTGTCGTTTAGCGGCGCACGCCCGCGTCTGCACTTGGAGTGGAAGTGAGAGACAGTGCGCTCAAACGAACCAGATGTCTGTGGTCAACCGGGCAACATTGACTGACCATTAGCTTGAGCCTTGGTTCCCCCGATGCACGTGTTGGAAAATACCCTTGCACGTGTTCCCAGTTTTTTTTTTTTTTTTTTTTTTTTTTTTTTTTTTTTTTTTTTTTTTTTAGCATTATCCACTATATTATATACTACCATAATTCTTTTATTTTAAGTGTTGGCAAAGCCTTAATCTGTCTATAATCTTCTTCTAAGCAAAACTCACGATATAATCCAATATTTTCAAATTAAATGCATGGCGGTTTTTGATAGTGTCAGAATCTTTATTATATCTCATAATTTATCACTGAATATATATAATCCCTCCGTTTTACATGATTGATTGTTTAAAATAAATTTAGTATTCATTATTTAATATTACTTGCTCTTGGTCTAATTTCTTCTTTCTCATGTCTTTCAAATATATGCATACATATATTTGGATCATTCACATTAATTGACAAACCTTTGAGTTGTTTACCGGATTAGACTATTAGAGCCGGAGGTTGAAACTTTTCCCTTTTGGCACAAGGAATTCGTTTAATTTATAAATGAATACTATAGTTTATCCATATTGGTTTCTGTAAATTACAAAGTTGCTAAAGTTGCATTATAATATAATATTAGTTGGAACATTAAAATAATTAAGCTGGATATTAGTAGTTACTAGAAAGTAAAAGGAGTAGTTGGGGCCGAAGGACTTTTCTACGCCATCTTTTAGTAGCAAAAAGTGTGTGTGTCCTGGCTTTCGGGCAATTTTCCATTCCCCTCTTGGCGGGGCACTCGTGTAAGTAGCATCTTCAGGGCATTATTAAGTGGTAAAGCTTTCCGAACAGGTTTGTTCGTATTCGAGTTCCTATCTTCCTAATTTATCGGGATATAGAAAAAAAAGTAACATCTTTAGGTAAATTAACCTATAAAAAATTCAAAATTGTTTTAGATTTGGTGACATCTATGATTCCAACAAAGATGAATTATTACATGATCCCAAGACTACATATAATAATTTTTCTCCAGCGAATCAAACATATACTTCTTGAATATCCTAAATCAACTTCATTTTTATTTCTAAATGTATATAACTTAAATCTTTATATATATATATATATAATAAAAAAAAAAAATAAAAATGATCAGAATTTTCCATCCTTATGTTGTATTGTTTAGTACTAGCCATTAGACATGCTTTTGTCGGATTCCTCCTACCAACTTACAAACTGTGATAATCCGTTTCTTAATCCATCTATTTGGTTAATTAATCGAGCAATTTGTTTCGATCCTAGTGCTTGATCACAAGTATTTGAGTCGAGCTTGCTGCAGGTTAATGCATCATTTCTCGTGAACTACTTTATTTAATGAAAGGACGGTGTCTTGAGCCTTGCACATAATTAATTTTATAACGTTTGTTTCTAGATTAATTGTCCATAATTTAAACAATTAACAAGGCCTGTCGTATGATGCTATCTACTTATTCGGAATAAAATGTTGAGGGTTTAAGTTTCCCGTGGGAGTTCTTTACTAGAAAAAAGAAAAAGAAAATTTAAGGGACTTAACTTAAAGCACCTATGTCAGGCATCTCTTGGTGCTTAACAAATTAAAGCTAGTGGTTGTGTGATTGAATGATGAAACCAGAAAGTTTGAAGTGGTTGTGTGATTGAATAATTAAACCAGAAAGTCAGAAATTAAAGGACAAGGATATATACAGATTTATCACCAAATAATTTGATTACAAGAATTTAAGCATTCGATTATTGAAAGCTTAGTTTACTCAAGAAAGAGTTGGCGAGGTTGAGATGTATTGGATTTCATGATGTAATGGTTGTTGACTTTTGATGACACTTTTTTTCTTGGTAGGTACTAGGTAGTGTAATTTTATTGTCAAAAGAAAGAAATATTACATCATAGACGACAATATTTGCCCACCATGAAAACAATGTGCGAGGCTTAGATCTTCTGCACACCTTTTATGATATAAATTTTGTTTAAGGGTAAAATTGTATTGTTGAGATTGAAATAAAAATTAGAGTCGGCTCGTTTGTTTGGACGTAAAATATTTTTTAAAATGTATTTTTATTTTTTGGTATTTAGTTATCGTAAAATATTTACGAAAAAATAAAATATTAAAATATAACAATAATAAAAAATACAGAAAAAGAAAAAATAAAAAATATATTTTACCTGAAAAAAAAATTATAAGAAAAATATTTTACGTTGAAACAAAAGAAAAGTCAAAGAGAAAGCAAGAGTGGAAGTTTGAAAGCGATAAAATTTAAATTACATAAATAAAATGGGAGCAGCATGAAAGTGAAAATGCATACGGAACTCGAGAGTAACATCCATTTAAAGAATTGTGTGACTTATAGTAGGCTTGTGGCAATTCAAGGACTGAGTTTGAGTATTTTCATTAGTTCACCATATTGGTATTTCATTGGCTGAGATAGCCTGATATCCTCCTCTTCGGCCCAAAAATTACGGGCTGGGCTGAATTTGAGCACAGGCTCTTTGAAATGCGGCCGAAATTTTTGGGCTCAAGTTCAAGGCTGTTCTCTGTGAAATTAGACCAAATCCTGGCGAGGCCCAAATTGTAATTTGGGTTTCATGTCTGTCTAGAGATTGTCAGATAGGAGAACCAATTTTTATTTATTTATTAGAATAACAAATTCAAGGATGAACTTGTAAATTAAACAATTATGTTTCTCTTAGTGCATCTTAGCATCCAGACTCCAGAGTGATAAATAGCCAATAGGTCTTTGGACTTGAAATTTATATTATTTTTGGGTTGAATTTTAATCTTGAATTATAAGATTAATATCAAATTTTGATTTTTTAAATATTAAACACCTGATAGATTACCAAACAAATAAGACTGTATTACTAAAGAAAACCTTAAAAAATCCATTATATTCGGGAAAACAAATAAATTTGACTGATACAAAGAAAATATAAGAGTGATGTTATAAACTCGTAAGTATAAACCATCTTAAAGTATTCAAACCCATATGTCTCATACAAACACAAATGGATATGGGCCTATGGCGAAAACTATAAAAAAAAACATGGTTGGAAAATACAGCTTTACAGAACTACAAGAATTAAAAATAAATAAAAGAATCTTAATTTGAAAATAAGATAATGACTGAAAAAATTAATAATAAATAAATAAGAGAGAGAGAGAAAATAATAATAAATAACATAGAATTCGATGCAATAACAGCAATGTATTGTACTGCATCAAACTACTGTATAAATTATTTATACGTGTGAACGCTTATCTCGTATGATACATGTGAATTTGGAAAGATTGGACTCCCTGATTCCATAAGAAGTGGGCTACTACTGAAAGTAATGTTGAAGTTGAATGCAGAAAAGGAAGATTGTCCTAGGGGTCGAGAGAGAGTGTCAGTATCTTTCTCTCTGAAGCACTTGAAAGCCTTGACTTCACCCAAAATTTCCATGACAGAACAATACATTTATCGTTGGACAAAGATGGTGCGACGTACTACTGCACCATAATAAATGCTTTTTAATTCAGTGAAAATGATCCCATAGCCCACCGTATCTGGCACAAAATAAAAGTATTTGAATCAAAATTTACCAAAGGCTTAGTCTAGCTCGTCTTTCAAAGTGGAATCTGAATCACAAGTCCGATTTATGATGTAAGTTTTGATCAAAACTTGAGATTTCTTCGGATCAATTGCTGATCATGAAAACTTTGATAACACGTTATTAAAAAACTCTGAATTTGTTACGTTATTGGAGTTTTCTTAACCTAAAAGTGATTACATATAAATACTAAGTCTTGTATCAACCCTAGTATGTGTGGGGGATAGCCAAAGAGAGAAAAAGAGCATGAGGGCTTTTCAATGTTAACATCCATCATTGTTAATATTGGAATTTTCTGGCGCGTTCCGCAGATGTAGGCATTTTGTCAAAGCATGTGTCAACTTGTGCGATTGTTTTATTTGGATTGCTTGTTTTGTTCAATTCCTCACAACCACCGCAACAATTGCACCGTGTAGGGCGCATGCCGCCACTCTCATTTGGCACAAACATTGGTAGCGGATGGGAAGGGCGTTGGACATATAGGGCGGGTAAGACATCAGAGACATGACAAACAATATCAAATGAGGTCAATTTCAGTGTCACGCTAAGCACCCACACAAAGATATCTGGTTTATTATCAATTCCCTCCCCATTAGCGTGGATAGATAAGTTCTCACACCGTGGTTTAGGCCGCTACCGAATTCCTTGCCGCTAGGGTGAATGGGTATACAAGGTGGCCGGACCAACAACAATAAGAATTTAAATAGTAGAAAATGTCAATAGTTATTGTCTCACGTTAAATTGCATATGGAAGATCTTAGGCACGTAAGGGCAATAATAACATCACCTAATAACTAAGGGTTGGTGTGGGAAAAGTGATGGTGATGTGAGTACGGACAAAACATTGGGTCATGCTTATTTTGGACGAACAGAATACGTGACAAAATGGACAGCACATATAGCAAACGCACCTAAACCAAACCAATTTTTAAAGGTATAAAATAGGCACTAATAAAGTCCCTACAAAACACCCGTGCCCAGCCCCACACAGACATGCTTCGTCACCCTCATTTGGTGCCACTTGCAGCCTTTGTTTAGGGTTTATATATATATATATATATATATATTGTATGGAGGCCCCTATTACCCAAGTGAATTTTTTTCTATATTCATATCGTCACCCGATCATTCTTCTTTTTTCTTATTTGATCGTGACGTAGCTTAAGTTGGTGGAAAATAACTTCCGAGGTGTAAATTCTACTTAGCTTTGACTCGACAAAAATTTAATATTTCTTATATTTATTGTGATCAATTATAATTAACCATTATTTTAAATAGAGCTAAGTCAAATTTTAAGTTTTTCGGCCAATCAAACTCGAAATCAAGTTAAACCCAAATTTGGATCTTCATGTTCAATTAAGACGTTACTTTTTTGAACTTAACATGATCTAAATTTGGATTTTCAAGTTCAATTAAGACATTACTTTATTGAACTTCACTTGTTTAGTTGAGTTAGATATTTTCGAACTTAAATTTCAACAGAACTATTTTATAAACACCTATTATAGAACTTGTTATAAATTTAACAAATTGAGTTAACAATTATTTGGTTATTAAACAAATTTACAAGATAAAGTTGTTTTAGGTTCGAGATATTTGTGAGTCTTGTGACTAATTTAATTAATAGTGTTTTATAAAAAAATAAAAATAAAAAATCGAAAAATTAGTGTTTTACAAATTTTTAAAAACTAAAGATTTCTTGTTTCTCTATCTTTTAGTATTTAATTATTTATTTACTATTATTATTTCTAATTAAAATGATTTTTCCTAATTAAAATGATTGGAATATATGAGGAAGAGGATAGTCAAAGCCGCACGCACATCGGTCACACCTTGCCTTGCCTAGTAGTTCCCCAATATGGACTAACGTGCGCATGTGCCATCATTTCACCCCCTTCCTCCCTCCCTCTTTCACTCTCTCTCTCTCTAGGAGCATTGTACTTCTTCGTCTTGACATGATGTTCAACGGAGTGGCCATCTTCCTGGGTTTACTTCTTCTTCTTGAAATGCAGCAAACTCTAACAATGGCAATCACAGGTAATCACTTTCTGTAAATTTCCCTCACTTTCTCGCGAAGCTTTACTTTACCTTTCTTTTGTTTCTTAGGCTTTGCTTGGAGCGACGGAAAATCAATATTGTATTTCAAACTTATTTTGTATATTCGTCTCTCATTTGCTTTTCCCTCTCTTTTGATGTGCCTTTTGGGGGTAATTCTTGGATGAAATCGTTAATTATGGTTGTGTGTTTGATCTGTTCTCTACTTCTCTCAATTTTTCTGTTTTTATTTCAGTGGCCATTCACATAATTTATGATTTTTTGATCTTTGGGAGTTATGAGGTTTACATTTGGTGATTCTTGAACTGGACATTGTTTGTCAGTTGCACTTTTGAAGCAAATAATTTGTAATGTTGTGTGTGCATGACTGTATGTATGTATATATCTATAAGGATAATTTTAGCTTAACAAAAGTTTAGGGCGCTTCTTTTGTGTCTTTAGGTTGTGCTTGTGTTCTAAATTCTATTGTATTGAAGGCTATGCTTCTGGTTAATGTTGGTTAAGTAACTTACTTTGATTGTTTGTTATTTAATAGCATTGCTGATAGTATTGTTTCTTTTTTCTATTGTTTATATGTCAAATTCCTACGTTTTTCTAGTTACAAATCTGGTTTCATTCTTATCTCGAAAGAAAAACTTTATATTACACCATCATGTTCAGCTACTGGGCTTTTATCCTGTCCCCAATCTAAGACTGTCATTATAAAGAAAGAAAAAAAAGAAGAAGAGATCACTGATTGATAAACATATTTAATTTCTGGGTGATTAGGTCTTGCTGATACTTCTTGCATTATTGAGCAGGGTATGAAATTAAAAAGAAATAGAGTTGAGCCTTGCGTTCACCATCAATCTCAATTCAATGATTTATAAGTTCACTTGTTACATTGCTAAGAGAAAACTAAAACTTCCTTCTATAGCTGCACCACTGAATAGTCTCTTCTTTGTTTTGACAAGGGGTGTTGGGTTTGATGTTCAAATCTTTATGTTATTAGAAAGAATTTGATATGGTTCTCTAGTGTAGCTGATAAAACAGAAAGTGAAACCTTAGAAGGGAATCAACCCTTTGCACTCCGCACCCTATGGTATGAGCTCACCCAAAACTTTCTAGTCTTATCAACCTTCCACCTTAAACCCTACTTTGTTCCCTCTAACACCATTTCCTTTGTCAAAATCCGCCTTCTCTAACTCCCTGCCCTGTAGTAATAAACCAGGCTCCCAATAATTTTTAAAGTTTTTATTTGAAGCATTGAACAAACTGCTTCTGATTATCAATTCGACCAATTAAATAAACCCAATTTCCTATACTTATCCATGCTTCAATTGATACGACTCACCTACCAATAAAAAATGATACTACTCTTATAATTTTCCTGTATGAAATGTGCAATGGAGACCAAGAAGTGCACTTGTGAGAAAGAGTAATGTGGTCCATGTTGATGGGTGCCAGAGGAAGGGAAATATCAAGTGTAACATGAGCTGAGATAGCAAGGAAATATATGATATTTTGTGGATTGAGATTTTGGCCTTGGAGAGAGTGGAATGGCAAAGTAGGATTATGTAGCCAACTCCAAATAGTTGGAAAAAGACTATGTTGATTTTAGTTAATACAGTTGCGTTATTCTACATATATACTAGGCATTCTTTATATTGATTTCAGAACAAACTCCTTTATAACAATAGTGGATTACAGTCTGACACTCATACAGTGATGTTGCTTTACATGCATACATGGCAAAGCATGCTAAGCTTGTATGTGTTTGACACTCCAACACGGTAAAAGGAGCGCTAAATTTGGATTTTCCTTTTACAGTGCATTTCCTCTTATATTTCCTGGCCACAACTAGTACTGGAATTACTGAATGTCTTTAACATAATTATCATTATAAAGTTGAAGAAAAGTCAGTCTGATTATTACATAAACCTTTATTATTAACATTTATCATGTGCGCTTGTTAATTGGGTAATTAACCAGTTTCCATGTTGCTAATGATGTCTTTTTAGGGGGAAAATTGTCAATCTCATAACTGATATTTTTGTCGTCTATTTGTGCAGATTGCCCCTTAGATTTGAGTGGGACAAATTTTACTCTAGCTGCCTCTGCCTGCGCCAATAAAGAAGACAGAGGGAAGTGTTGTCGGTACATTAATGCCTTCATTGCAGTTTCTATTGCTCGCTATACAAATGCAACAAGCAATCTGGGGGTTAATTCAGATTTATCTGAGATATGCCTCCGTTCTATATCAAAAACCTTAGAACTGTATGGAGTATCACGAAACGCAACAGTTTTCTGTGGGTTTGGAACGAAAATTACTGTTAATTATGAGTGTAAGGGTAGAACAACTGTTACACAGATGCTGCACTCTCCAAAATTTGGCAATGTCTCCAAAAATTGTAAAGTGCCATTGTCAGTAGAAAGTAATTGCAGAAAATGTTTAAATGCTGGTATTGTATATCTTCGCAATCTAATAGGAGCAGGAAATAATGCAACATTGAGTTCTTGCAGGGATGCAACCTTTGCTACACTTGCCAGCCAAGTTGACAATGTGTCAGCTGTTGACATTGCAAGCTGCTTCTTTGGGGTTCAAGAACTTATTACTCTTCCAGGTATGACTGGATCTGAAAAATTATGGGATTATTTCGTATTAAGCGTTCCATACATCAGGCTCTTACCCTTAGTAATTCTCTCTCTTCTGTGAGTTACTTATTGTCTTCATATTTTATATCTCAATTGTACTTGTAGCATTGAATTTTCTATATAAGAAAGTAAGACACATTCTGAAATTTGTAGAAGAATCAACTGCAATCTACATATTTTTTGTTTTGTGGGTCTGATGGACATGATTTTGGTTGTTTCTACACAATGAACTTTGTACTCAGTATAAGGGTAATAGAAAATAGTGTTAAAAAGACAATAGACTGTGTAGAAAGTGGGGCTGTCGTCTAATCTTGATGAGATGAGAGCAAAGTCTTCAGGAGCATGGTGTAGTTAGATTGGCTGTTACCTTTATCACTCGATGTTTCTTGTTTGTCAATTTTTTTACTGCTATTATTTACAACAACAACAACAACAACAACACAAAAACCAAGCCTTTTCCCAATTACTTGGGGACCTTGGGGTCAACTACATGAATCCCATGTTTATATTCCACTCTATATAAGGCCATAGTTTCAGTCCAATCCACATGACATCTTTCTTTACTAACTCTACCCAGGTTAACTTTGGTCTTCCTCTTCTCCTAGTATTACCCTCAATGTGGACTATGTCACTTTTCCTAACTGGAGCACTTAAAGGTATTCTTTGCACATGTCCAAACTATTGTCCTCTCATTTTATCTCCAATTGGTGCTACTCCAACCATCTCCCGGATGTGATCATTTCTAATTATGTCCTTTCTAGTCTTACCACACATTCATCTCAACATTCGCATTTCTGCCACACGCACTTAATGCAAATGTTGTTTCCTAGCTGCCCAACATTCGGTACCACAATAATAATAAATAAACTATTATTATTGTTATTATTATTATTATTATTTAGTGTGCTGGTTGCTTAGCACCTTAGCCTCTTGTCTTCTCATTTATTGATGAAATAGGGAGGAAATCTTCGAAGATTGATCAATGTGCATATGTTCTTAGGGAAATTTTGAGAAGTTTAAAACAAAAAGAAGTCAGAGTTGACAGATACAGAGATACTAAACGCTAGAAGTTTGACGTTGAGTTATTCTCGAGCAAACCTCAGTCTCCTAGGGAAGATGTTGGATTGAGGAAATCTCTATGATCAATTTCTTATGAGTTCCACCAATGCCCTCATTCCCACTTGAAGAGGATATTCAATGGGGACATCACTTTATATACCATCCTAAATAGAAGAATTAAGTATTACAATCTTAAATATAGGTATCGTACATACGAGCAGAGGAACTAAAATTGAAATGTCAGTTGTCGCACCTGTTGTGTAAGTGATGACCATACTATATACTGAGTGACTGATCATTAGTAGCTTAAAACCACATAACCTCTGGGGAATCCATGTTATGAGTGTCTAGACAACACTGCCCTTGTCCAGTAACCATTCTGAGGAGAGCCCAGGAAGGAAGGGAAAGTGATCAAATGAATTACCAGAAAAAGTCCTCAGTACAAGACGCGGTTATTGACGGCAACAAATTGGTGGCACGGAAATGTCATATGAGCTTAAAAATGGTTGGACCATGTGTAAGCAGCTGTTTGCTGACATGTACAAAAATATAATGGATACCTTCGGCTCCTCTCTCAACCTGCTAAAGTTCTCCCTATTCAGAACCTCTTATTTGTAGCTTTCACTGCATAGAAATGAAGGTTGTGATATTCCCTTTGTTGGTGCTGGCATACATAAAACTATTGTAGAGCTCATGCAGATTTAGTTCTTGGGGTTTGTTTCATGTCTGCTAACATGAACAACACATTGTCTTTATACTGGGTGAGAGTCCCTAACATTCTTCTATGGGCTAGGTTTCTGAATAGATGGCAATATCTTCAATCCATTTGTTTTTGAAAGGTATCTTCAGTCTATTTTGCTACTCCCTCCATCCCACAAAAAGTGTCCACCTTTCAATTTTTGGCTGGCCCAAAATAATTGTTCCAATTAAAAAATGTACTATTTTTTAAATATTTATATTCCTAATTTACCCTCCTTGCCTTGAAGTTATAAAAGCAATGACGTCATGTGGACCCACCATAGAAGGGTACATTTGGAAATTCATTCCCTACCACAATAATAAGAAAACATTATTTTAAAAATTAGGTTCCCAAGAAGGGACACTTTTTTGTGGGACGGAGGGAGTATTTGATAATTTTTGGGTGGCGTTACATCATAAGATGTTGGAGCTTTGTATTGGTGCGGCTTGTTCTCGTGCTTCCTAAAACTGGCTGTTGAAACCACGTGCCAATTTATTATTTTAGCTTGCTAAGAAGAACGGGTAAGGAGGAGTCGTGTCCATGTTAGACACGTGTCGAACACTGATACTTCTCGGAAAACTCCAAACTAAGCGTCCGACACATGGTGAACGTATTCATAATATAAAAACTAAGTTCTTAATTTTGGACACATGAGACTCTTCTTGGACATATGGAAACACATTGCTAATGAATCTTGAATATTGGATAAAACTTTCTTTTACCGTGGAAAAAACTATAATTTTTAGAAAAATCAAATTAAATATTCATATAAATTTCTATAAAGTTTGATTGTGCTTTAACAGATAAAAGATGTAGAAAAGTTTTATTGGATGAGTGGGTACAATAGTGGGAGAGGAAAAATTATATTACGTGTATGGATACCTAAATACACAAACAAGTGTATACATATATATAATTTTGTCCTTTTGTCATTCTTTCTGTGACGGGTAACTATATGGTATATAAGTTACAAATTTCATGTCACATCCATTTTTTTATTTATTTTTCATATATAATATAACTTTTATACAAAAAATATTTCAAGTTCGGCTATCAAGCGTGAGTATGCGGATTCATGCATGTGGGCGACCACTTTATGAAATACCCAGTTCACCCCTCCCAACAGCCTTGATTAACAAAGTCTAATACTAATGGCCTTTGGCCCTCATTCATGGGCTACCAGGTCTTTTAGGTCTGGGGTAGTTGACATGCTTAGTTTGGGCCTTGAGGCTCACTCACATCATGTTATGCCATTTGCTATCATTTCTCATTTGCCGAAGTCGTAAGGGACATCTCTGCCTCTTAAATTTTGCAATGTATCCCTTCAGATCAAGCCATGTGTCATGTTGGATCTATCATCCATATCTCCTTGTTGTATTGAAGTCCCTTCTATCGTTCTGTCTTTATGATATATATAATTTCCTTAAATAATACTCTTAGGAAGTTGTTTCAGCATCAATAGACCAGTCTACTTCCTCAAATTCTGTTCCTCTTTTCTTGCAGAAAGTACTTTGAAGTCTTTTGGTTTTAGATATCTTGCCAGAAGGATTGGTCAATGCCCTCTTTTTGTGATGACAAATTATTTGGAAAATTTATTCGTCATAAGATTGGTGAATGACTGATTAGGGCCCATTCAGTATGCCAACTTTTTCTTGCTAAGAAACAAAAGATGTTCCTATTCCACCATTTGTTTGCCCTGGTTTTCTTTCAACCTGACTTGGAAATTTTTATTTATTTATTTATTTATTTTGTTTCAAATGCACTAAGTTTATATATTAGGATATATGATGGAATAATCATTTTCATTACTTTTCTGAAACTCTTTTGTTAGTTACTGCATTTTACCTGTCTTGTTTGTCTTGTGGTCGTCATAATAGATATTCGTGAATAACACTAAAAAAAAAAAATAGATATTCGTGAATAACATTAATTATTCTATAAACTTATATGGTGAACTGTTTTGTTGCATTTGTGATGCTAGTTTCAGAGCCACCCCCAGCTTTGCTTTCACCTAAGGCATCACCAAGTCCATTGGTTGCGGATAGCCCCAGCCAGCTCACCTTGAGTGCACCCCTTAGTAAAAGTCACCATCACTACCATCTCACATTGATTCCAGTCATTGGTATAGCAGTTACAGCAGTTGCTGTTATGATGCTGGTAGTCTTGATATTTCTTATCCATAGGAAAAGCAGGGAGCTAGAGGGTTCTGAGACCATTGACAAGAGCTCTTCAAAAGCCTTCCCTCAGCCTAGTAGAAAATTTCAGGAAGGTACAATTCTGATAACTTTCTGGTTATGTGCTCTCTTGGTTCTGGCATACAAAAGGTGTAATGTTTTGCCTTGTACATCTTTTGGGGTGGGAAATTTGAACTGTATGCAGGTCCTTCGTTTATGTTCCAAAAATTCAGCTATAAGGAGACGAAGAAGGCTACAAACAACTTCAACACTATCATTGGACAAGGGGGATTTGGAACTGTATACAAAGCTCAGTTTAGTGATGGTTTATTGGCAGCAGTGAAGCGAATGAACAAAGTTTCAGAGCAGGCAGAGGATGAATTCTGTAGAGAAATAGAACTTCTTGCTAGACTGCATCATCGTCATCTTGTTGCACTGCGTGGCTTTTGCATTGCAAAACATGAGAGGTGGTTTATTCATGCATGCATAATGTGTGTATGTGACTAACTTAATGTGCTGGCAAAACCAAATACTTTTGCTTGTTTAATGGCAGGTTTCTCATGTATGAGTATATGGCAAATGGAAGCTTAAAGGATCATCTTCACAGTATGTATCCCATCTTTTATTTCACTTTTTCTGGAGTTCAATCCTTAATAGGTAAGAAAAGATTTGGGGTTGGAAACACAACATGGAAATGGAATGCTTCTTTGCTATTGATTTCATATGGAATCAGCCTATCTAGTTTTCAGTCACCAAAGTTCCTCCGGAACTCTCTCTCATAATTTATGCATTAATTGAAAGCCTATAGAACTTTTGCTAATGACAACATATAAAACATTAGTGATGAAGATTACTGGAGCAGAGTGAGAGTGACGATATTCAAATATATATATATATATATATATATATATATATATATATATATATTATATACACACATCTTCATGTATGCACATATATATTATGTATGTCTTATATATAAACATCAGTAACTGATAAATGTAATATGGTGCATTCAAGTTACATCTAACAAGCTATGGCCCATTGGCTGTTCCCTTTGAGAAGAACATTTATAGCACAATTTGGTTTTCCTCTCTGACATTGATTGAATTTTGAACAAATGTTTCGCACCCGAACAAGGAATTAAAGTTAAAGACACTCCATCTATCTGGTGCCCTAACAGGGCACAATTCCATCATATCTGGTGCCTCAGCAAGGGATGTAAAATATTAAACTGTGCTAATGACGTGGGTGCTATTTGATAAAACTGAAAATTAAGTACTAAAAATTTCAAGAGTTGAATCTAAGTGCTGGATTTCTAAGTGGTAATTGCAGATTGAGATTTTTTTGGATTACAAGTGTTACGCATTTAGTGATAAGTGATTCCACTCTCACTTAATGACCTCATTTTGTGTAACTTTATTTTTTAAGTAATATTCCACTCACTTATTTATCTCATTTTATGTAACTTTATTTTTTAAGTAATATTCCACTCTCACTTATTTACCTCATTTTATGTAGCTTTATTTTTTTAAGTAATATTCAAATTGTGTTATCAAATGGCACCGTAGTCAAGAACTCAAATCCCTTCAATTCTACCAGATCTGCAATTTCGGAAGATTTTTCGTGCAACCTTTTGTAGAATTTGCATCCTAGGTATCTGGTGTGATGCTTGTGCACTTCGAAACCGGAAAAAGAAAAGGAATAAATAAATCAAATTGGCTTGTCTATATTGTGTTCTTTATTGCCGCAATCTGTGCAGCTCCAGGCAGAACTCCTCTGAGTTGGCGTAGCAGAATTCAAATTGCCATTGATGTGGCAAATGCTTTGGTAACATACAGAACTTTCAATGTACTTATTATTTATCTACTAATTTCTGAAATTACCTATTCTTCCTAATTTGATATCTCCATATGCAGGAGTACCTCCATTTCTATTGTGATCCTCCTCTGTGCCATAGAGACATCAAGTCCAGCAACATTTTACTGGATGATAATTTCGTTGCAAAGGTAATTTACGCAATTGGATGCACTTCTTGCCTGTTTGGTGGTGTTCTAATTGCCTAGAAATTTGGTTTTGAATGCCAAATTAGTACCATGTCACTGGAAGCAGTTTCTTATTATTTGGCCTGAAACACATTTTGAAAAGTAATGACATTATGAGATTCACATATTAGAAATAGTCTTCACCTTTTGCTTCTTTAACCAAACAAAACTAGCTGAGTTGAACTGATTTCTTTCTTGCGACCGTTTGATAAAAGCTGCACATCCAAGTACCCGAGCAATACTTTGAAGCAATTCCTGTGTCTCACCTTTAATTTTTTTTTTTTCCCCTAAATTTCTCACCTTTAATTTGTCTTTCCAGGTTGCAGATTTTGGCCTTGCACATGCTTCAAAAAATGGTTCCATTTGCTTTGAACCGGTTAGCACTGATATCAGAGGCACTCCAGGTTAGTAACGGAATTTTACCATAAAAATAGTTCAACGTACTTCTTCTGAAGAGAGAGAAACTTTGCATGACTTTCAGGTTACATGGATCCCGAGTATGTGATCACTCAAGAGCTTACTGAGAAAAGCGATGTGTACAGTTATGGTGTGGTACTCTTAGAGCTGGTGACTGCAAGACGAGCAATACAAGATAACAAGAATTTGGTAGAGTGGTCTCAAGTTTTCATGACATCAGAATCAAGACTACATGAGCTTGTGGACCCCAGTATTGGTGACTCCTATGACTTGGATCAGCTTCAAACAGTAGTGACAATTGTGAGATGGTGCACCCAGAGAGAAGGAAAGGCAAGACCTTCAATTAAGCAGGTCCTCAGGCTTTTGTACGAATGTTCGGACCCAATGCACAGTGGGTTTGTTGAAGCTGTGCAAGATGAAGAGTACGAAGGAACTGAAGGGAGCAGGAGGACAAGTAAAGGGAAAATGCATAGGAGTGAGGTGATTTTTCACAGTGGGGATGGAAGATGTCTTGCTTCGTCTTCAAGTACATCTAGGTCATATTGCAGTAGGAGTTTTCTACTTGAAACCGGCTCTCCTCAATCTCCTTCTGGTATACCCTCCATTTAGGTCCAACATTCACCTACTTCACAGACGTACTGTAAGTTTTTGCAAGGGAGACTTGGATTAAGCAATGGTCTCGAGAGGCATGTGATCGCCTTGATTCCATTTCACGGACGTGTGGTTATAAATCCTTATCAAGTATGAACCTTCTTTCTATAGAGCTGATTAATGACTTCGCGTCGTTGCTGACATGCTGCTGGGAGCAAAGGGAGAAAAAAAAAAAAGAAGCTGCAAAAATAGCAATGCTTTGAGATTTTTTCGATGTTCTGTTAAAATTTTGGGAAAATGAGGTTTAACCATATTTCTTGGCTTGTATTTTTTATGCTGGACAATATAGAACTGTAATAATTTTCTTACCAGCGCTATTGAAATTTCAAGTCTGGAATTAGTTGTGATTTTTTAAAATGATATCTACTTCGTCCAATTCCAAAAATATTTAATATTGGTGGTCGTCATGATGCTTATTTGTTAATAATACTTATACCAAAATATTATGTTTGAAATATTATTGCGAAGGACCGGTTTAATGTTTTGAAACTTTGATGGTCTGTGGTACCATTTCATTCCCCATTTGGCTGGTATGTCTCTTATTTGTTGGAAGCATGAATGATAGTTTTGAACTAGAAATCTGAAATACCATAATTAACATGTTTGTTGTAATGGTAAAAGTTCGTGATGACAAGAATGTAAATTTAAGTCGACTTCCTACAAAATATTGTCACATTTTGGCTCCGTTTAAAATATTTTTTTTAGAAAATATTTTTATTTTTTAGGCAAAATATATATTTTTTTATTTGTATTTTTCGGTGTTTGACAAAGGTTTAGGTCGAGGTTGAGGTCGACTCCTTCGAGCGGGACGTATAAAATAACTTACCAAAAATTGATGAATAAATTATTTTTGTAAAATTTTAATATTTATTTTCTTCGTAAATATTTTACTGACAACCAAACACCAGAAAATAAAAAAATATTTTCTGAAAAATATTTTACATTCGGCTACAAATAAAGCTCAAATTCAAGCAAAAACACGCATACTTACAATATTGTCTTTTGCACCACGTACTAGAAGTAGAAGTAGAAGTAGAAGTAGAAGTAGAAAACCAGACATTCGCTGGGACCAAAAAAAAAAAAAAATATGGTAGACATTTGCTAAAAATATTTTACATTTAAACAAATAGAGCCACTATAAAAAAATATTAGCAAATGTCTACCTTTTTTTTTTTTTGTCCGAGCGAATGTCTGGTTTTTTACTTCTACTTCTAGTACGTGGTGCAAAAGACAATATTGTAAGTATGCGTGCTTTTGCTTGGATTTGAGCTTTATTTGTAGCCCAGCCTGGCATCGCCATTGACAAATTCAATCCCCTAGGTCGTTCCACCTGCTAACTTGTGTTGCTATTTTCTCTTCCAAAGCCAAAGTTGTTTTGGGATATGTGTTCAAAGTCAGGAGTAAAGAACTTGTAATATTATCAGTTGGTTTGAGTGTAGAATATTTTTTGATTTTATTTTTATTTTTAATTGTTGTAAAATATTTACGAAGAAAAAAAATATTAAAACCCAACAAAATAACCTATTCAGTAATTATTTGCAAGCTATGTTACACGCTTCTCACCCGATGGACTCAACTTCAACCTCAACCTCAACCTCAACCTCAACCAAAGCTTTTGCCAAATACCAAAAATTTTAGATAAAAGCAAATATTTTACCTGAAATATATATATATATATATATATATATATATATATATATATATATATTACGTTTAAACAAATGAAGCCTAACAAGTGTGTAGTTAAGAAAATGTTGGGTGACGCGGAGCAGCATTCATTTTTTATTTGGGATGTGAAGGCGAACTGAGAATTTATGATCTCATTTCACCCATTTTCCCTAGAAACAACACTTGGCAATCAAAGAAGAGAGCACTAAGAGAACGTAGCTCAAAGCAATCCATTATGCCAAATTGCCAGTCAATGAAACAGATTGCTCTTTCTTCTTTACTGTAGTATCTAGTATTTAATTAATGTCCAACCTAATTAAATAAATAAATAAAATTTGAGAGCCATTATGCACATATATCATACTTCTACACTGTTACACACACACACAATATCATCTTTGAATCTCCATCTTAATGCCATCCTGCATATGCAATCGATAACTTTGGCACCAGATCATCCACATCAATATTTATGCATCTTTTGAAAGTGACTGTGAATATAATACATGTAGTAAATTATAATCATACGACACTTGCACTTGACTGAAGAAGCAACAGGAGCGACCATAAACAACTGCGCAACCACAAGCGAGCAGTCATCTCCAACAACCGCAAGTTCTACAACGGTAGCCCATGCAGGCAAAATATCAATCCAAAGAGAAAAACTTGGTGCCTATCACTGTTATCCAAAAGTTTTGTATTACCAGTTGCATTCTCCGATTTCGTTGATCAAATCTCCATCTTTTGAGGCTATTGCCATGTATGGCAAAGAGAAATGACATGGCCAAAGAGGATTAGTAGTCTCTGTACTAAAAATAGCTCCTTAATAACCTCTGCCCTATTTTAGATGGCCGGACTCCTGCATATTCATCAGGTCATGGAACCCAAACTTCCATGCAACATCCTGTCAGAAGAAGTGTCTTATTGGAGTCCGTTGCTTCCATTTCCATGCCCAAAGTACACATAGGAACACTAAAGACTGACAAGTTTTCTGGGTAGATAGATTTTCCTCTAAAGGTGAGGATACCATCATCAAGCATCATGTAAGCAGCACGATCTAGGTCAATTGTCGTGGCACCAGAAGTTGTAACCCAAGGCGCTCTCTTTTGAGGACACTAAAATCACGAGGATGACAATAGCAGCTGAACAAGCCCAAAAAATCCCTTTCATCAGTGCAAACTCCACCAATTCAACTGGGTTTTTTCATAAAATGGTGTCTCAATAAAAACCCAATGACAATAACACTGGATCGCTTCATCAGCTATGGCTAGTCCACTCCAGCTGATGTGTCTGGCGGTGGAATCACGTGTTGTTAACGAAAAGCAATTTGTGAATGGAAAGACAGGTCTTTAGTGCAACCCCAGTTGTTTCGTTCACATAACCACAGCAATTATCATCTTCTGCAAGGCTACCGACTGCAGTCAATGAAGTGTGTTCCATGTCGAAGGAAGTCCTTAGTAGATTTTTAGTCAGTAGTTCTTCTGCTTCATTCCTTCACTGAAAGAGTGAATCTAAGAGCTAGTAGTTCATGCGGCAGGTGTCGCTAAATATGAAATAGCGGATCAAGCGGATGGTGCGAAGAATGCCTCTTTTTATTATTCGAGGCTTGTTGAGTCTTGCTCCTATGCTTGGCTTACGTGACCGGGTGAACAGACACCAGGGGCATGCCATCATTTTTGAAACTTTCACATTGCGGCCAAATGCCAATGCCAAATATACCAATAATCATGTCATCGCCAGAATTGGCTTAATTTTCAGACCAAAACTGTTCACATGCACCAATTATGATGATCTGAGAAGGAGCGGATATCGTTTTGTTGTCCATGTGGAATTATCATCCGCTGGAAGCTGACAAAGCCAGTTGGAAGGAGAAATCAGAATAATGAAAACAAATTCTGTAGATCAGTTCACTGTAGTTCGGACACCTACAAAAAAAAAATTGTTTGTGGGGAATTTTCTCCATGCTAGTTGAAAACTGTAATTGACAAAACCAACTGAATGAGTCAGAATGAGAAGCAATAGGTTATTGGGATTCATATAGTTATGGCCATATCTGAGTTGCAGTTCCTGCCATGAGGCCAGCCAGATTTATACATGTAGTTATGATCGTTACGTATCTCAAAATACCTCCCATCTTGGGAGTGAATTAGGTAAGGTTACCAAAATAAGAATAATAAATTAGTACAGTGTTGTCCAAAAGATCATAACTATGTGTATAAGATGGGAGTCCCATCTTAGTACAATGTTGTTCCAAAATAGCAAGACTTAGGCAAGGTTACCAACATAAGAATAATTAATTCATAGTATATGATAGCAGGGTCATTGACAACTGTAAGAACCTAAAGTGTCATTCTTGATATCAAATGATTCAGCTCTTCCCCAACAGAACACCCTTGGTAGGATCCTATCGCTGACAACGCCACACTAAGATTATATCATGAGTCTGCTACCATGCTAACTAGCTTGCTAGTAATTTATTGCCACATTAAAAGATGCTTAACATCAGTGTAAAAGAAACATATCTTACTATGGGCAATATTGAGGAGAAAAAACACCCAGTCATGGAAAAGAAATCAAAAAAGGGTTTCCTATCTGATCTTATAAGACCCAAAAAAGAGGATAGTACTTGTTATGAAGAGACCATTGAATAATGACTTCACAATTTTCATTATGGCTGCAAAACAGCAACTTCATGTGAAAATAATATCATCATCATCAATCTTGCATTTGTCCCATGTGGACGCAGTTGGTTACATGAATTCTCTTTTTCCATTTTTCCTATTATAAACCACGTCCCCACTAATATTTTGTTTTAAATAATTTTTTTTACTTCATTCCTGCAAGTTTTGTCAAACTCTTTATCGCTCACCTTCTAAACAAACAACCCATCTTCTGACTAAAGCATTTTTGGATCTACATTGTATGTCACCAAACCATTTAAGTCTGTTTTCTCTAATTTTAAAATCAGAAATCATTCAAGAATAATTTATGGCGTGATTTCTGGAAACACATTAATTAAGATCTATGTTTATTTTTCTAGAGTACAACTAGTTAGAAATTATCAGAATAATGAGGCTTTAGCCCCCCTTTAGGAAGGGCTTAAAAAATGACCGACACAAATGGAAATCACATTGATCCATACAGGATGCCTTTACTACAAAAACTAAACTGGAAGATGACCAGATGAAGTCAATTTATAAGATTATTCAAAACGAAGAATTTAAATTGGCAACTACTCATGCACAATGTGACGCCTTGTGCATGTATGAGAATCAATTCACAAAATCAAACAGCCCAGGTTTCTAATGTGGTGAGAAGACTTCAGGGAGAAAAGAAGTAGCAGTACTAATAGAAGGGTGATTGTTGAAACAGACAAATCAGGACTAATTATGAACATTTATGTGTCAGGTGTGGAACCTGGAGGAAAGGTGGTTGAATAAATAAATTTCCAGTGAGTCAGTAAAGAGCCTATAGTTCGTGATGCTGAAGCTAATCGACTTCTTCAGCTTCATTTTAATAAAATGAAAAAATAAAAATAAAAATAAAATAAAATAAATGTAATCACTGTTTCTTTGAGTATACTATGCAAACCAACAAATAAGAGAAGATTGCAAAGAAAAGGGTAGTTTTTAAAATGAAATGTAATAATTGAAATGGAAGTCAATTTACAAATGGATCTACAATGACTCAGGTGTGAGTCTTACACGGAACTTTTGAGATTAACCTTCAAATCCATGTCAGATGCACAAGAAACCAAAAAAAATAAAAATAAAAATAAAAATTGCTCCTACCTTCTCCTATCATCTTCTATGAAACTGGAAGAAAATGAGAAAGAAATAAAAGTACAATGTAGTGACAAGCAATCAAGCATACCTCAGCCAAAAGATCCTAAGTTACAAGAGTAAAAAATCCCAAAATATTGCAGCTGTCCAATAATTCTAGCCACCAACAGCAGCCAGGAACTTCCTCTTGCTTGCAGGTTCCTCGAGCAAAACCACGACATCTCTCACCTTGTCCAACAGCTCCTCCAGCTCATTCACACCAAACTGCTGATAGTCCACTTGTTTCTTGTACCTTTGCAGATATATTGCGTCAAAAAAACCCAAGTAAATTTGACAAGAATAGCTCACAAGAATCTCTTGAAGCTCGTGTTTGAACTGTTCGAGACTTTTGCATGGAGCAGCCATTTCCAAATAAGTGTTGTCTCCACCCCTCCTCTTATCATGTTCTTCTACAACCACCCTTTCATCATCTGATAATTCATCTGAAGATCGACAGTCTATGATGATATCAATGTTATCGTCTCGTGTTGCCTTCCCTTTCTTATCCCTTTTTGCCAGAACTAGCGGAGGAGCACTTGGGTCGGCTTGCAAGTTCCGCAAGTAGACAAACTTCTTATGTCCTTTTCCCTCTACAGCCATCGTGTCCGACATCTTCTTGAGAAGATTCACAAGCTTGAATGACCCATACTCTGAAACATAAAGAGGCCTCCCAAAAATTTTCTGGTACTCAGCAGGAACACAGGTAAGGGGCATACACCCTCCAGACAATTCAAGCAGCTTCTCCAGCTGCCCCTTCAAACAATTTAGGCCTCCAGGCTGTACCCACATCAAGTCATTCTGGTCACAGGAAGCAACAGCACCTCCTGAAACTTCATTCAAACCAGATGGAAGACTATGTGATCTCGTGGTTGTAGGAAAACAAGGCATGGAGATTGAAGTACTATTGTATTGAGATAGAGACTGAGATATCATTGAAAAATCCCTTGAGTTGTAAAAGCTTTGTGAGATCCCCCTATATACTATTGCTTCTTCTTCGTTCTGACCATCTGGGTTGTCATTGATTTGGCACCCTATCAGATACCCAGCAATGTCAGCTCGACCTCCACGAGGGGGAATAAAGACCTTAGTAGGGGGCACAAAGCCTTCCCCACGAGCCACACTAGGCCAGTCCCAAACAAATCTACCTGCATTACTAAGTGCAGATGAAACACCCACCCCAGAAGGAATGACAAGAATCACGCTATATCCACGTTGACCAAGTATGTGAAGTGCTGGAGCAAAATCAACGTCCCCCGAGATCAGCACTATGGAAGAAGGTGAAGGATTGTCAAGAGCAAAGAGGAACATGTCAACCAAGATGGCCTTGTCAGCAGCATCCTTCCTCACATTCGGGACATCAATGAGTTTGACACCAGTTCTCTGGCAGCCCTCTCTTAGTCGCCGGGGGAAGGCATTAAAATCCCCATAAGCAGAAAACATTGTAACAGCTCCCTTAATTACAGGATGGACCCGCAACGCCATTCTGATGTTGCCAGCCACATCTTCTGGCCGCACATCACTTGGGACAGGACAGTTCTCAATGTCCCAGAAAATAGCGACAGAACCGTGTGAGGAGCACCTGCTCTGCTGTGAAGGAGGCTGAGGTGAACTCGTGGATAAATTTGCCATGTGTGACCCACCTTGTTTCTAGGATTTAAGAGAACATTGAAACTGATGTATTTGGATTAGCCTTCATGTTTTCATTTTTAAATCTCAAGACTCCTGCAAGTGTCCAATAGATGAAAACAATTTAAGCAGCATACAACAATGTGCTTTTCATAACATTTTCAAAGTATAGACCCAATATCCATTAAATAAATCAAAAAAGAGGGGGTGGGGGATGGTGAAATTACTAAAGCTCTATGTCAAAGGAAGGGAAGCCTGAATTTGATCAGCCACAAAGCAATGATAAAGTAATTGGCGTTAATTCCTCGCATTGGTAACCAAGTGTACCCCCACAAATATGGTGAAACAATCAGAGGCTCAGTAGAGACAACTAAAGACGAGTTTCACTGTTTCCCATTAAGGTAATCATAATCTCCACCCACGTACATCGTACACATATTGGTAGATCAACGGGCCTCCAGAAGTACAGACTCTAGACCAACATCTCTCAATTCTATATGCATCTGTAACTCTCAGCCCAACCAGATATTATAGATAGATAAAGAACTTAAAAGTTACAGCTTAATTGAACTCTACCCTCAAACCCATAGCCCAAAAAGTTGTTGGAGCCAGACAAGTCCTAAACCTAACATATTTCACCTCAAACTGAACAAAGAACAACTTCAAATCCTAAAAATGAAAAACAAAAGATGGAAACTTCCCCTAAGTTGACCTTGAGAATTTCTCATTGGATTAAGTCCTGTGCAATGTTATAATTGTAACCAAAAGGCAAAAGAATAACCCAGAAAACAATAAGTATGTGAATGAAATTAAGATCAAGGATGGCATGCATAATGGAAGGAGATGGAAATTATGAACTTTGGGGCACAAAATACTATGGGACCCTCAGGCAGTACGACGGCAAGCATTCATATGATTATAATCTCTAATTGACAAATAAGATTACATTAAAATGATCCTACGATAATTATACTAACTTGACCTAAGATTGGTACTTCAACTCAGGACCGAGCAGGGGACTGAGGTCAGAATAAGGAGAAAGCAACATAATTAGACAGGATAATGGCTGACCACGGGGATGATGGCGACGATGATCAGGCTGTATGTGGGCTCGGAGACAACATATATGATTTAACTACAAGTAATTTACATTTCACAGTTTTCAAAATCCTTCAAAACAACTCAAAATCTCTTACTAAACAAATTATGGTTACAAGGAAGATGCATGCTGCCCTATTGCAAATTACTTGATATTGGCAGGAGGATGTCTATACACATCACAGGTAGAGCCAAGAAGAACATCACAAAGGGATAAACACCGAAACAGGATTCGAACTTGGGTGAATCTAAGGTAATAGAATAATTACCAAATAGACATTTGTAACCTACTGGTCTTTTCTTTTTCTCTCTTTTGGAATATTGTTAAGAACATTATATATCACATTCATATTGTTAGTAAAAACTTGGAAGAGCTTGAATCCCCCTCCTTCTTGGATAGAGAGCTTTTGGGTGCAACTTGGAGCCGCGAGATGCATTACACTAGTAATCAAAATCACGCACAACTGTCATTTGCAAAACAGTAATATCAAAACAGAAAATTCACAATTATTGTCTTTGGACAAAACAACATTGCTCAAAAAGTAAACCTTCGTCTTGCCGGGAAAATACATCTATAAGGATGTGATCTATAATTCGTAGCAGCAACTAAAGATTGTATTGTAACTCAATCAGTAAATTAAATCTACACATAATTTTAGAAAGATTACTCCTAAATTCACTCTAACATATTGGGGAGCAGAATACATTGTATGAGCAACATAGTCCTAATATGAGTGACTTAATTCAGATAAAGACTTCCAAAGAAGATTGTTAACATACACACACAGATAATTAGATACAAACACAAATTTCAGCCTTCAGTTCTTCTAATTTTCGTTTAACATATCAATGAATAATGAAAATTATGAAACCAAATAAAAAAGAACCCAACGAGAGAGAGAGAGTACCTGAGAGAGAGACAATTCTATCTATATCGAGCTCCAATAGAGATTGTGCACCCCATCCCTAAAAGAAATATAATATAAATCAATTGAAAATGAAATGATCAACAAATCTAAGAAGATTTGTGTGATCGTTATGTTATTGAACAGACATATATACAGAAGAAATATACAATGTCAAAATATGACAAAACCTAGGTTAAAAATAATTAGAACAAACAGGTGAATGGGAGGGCCAGTGGAGGATCTAACGCTTCTTCGAGGGGGGAGAGATCTTTTAACTGACCAAGATGCATAAATGGGCGTGTTTTAAAAGTTGTCGTGAATGGGCGTTTGAAACGTAAAAAGTAACAAAAAGTTACTTTTTACACGCCCGGTGGGACTCGAACCCACAATCGCCTGATTAGAAGTCAGACGCCTTATCCGTTAGGCCACGGGCGCCTTCGTTGCTAAAGAAACCATCTTATTATATTTATATAAAACAGCCTTTTTTTTTTCCATCGAATCCCTTTCGTTCTGGTTACTTTGGATCATGTTACCGTTTCGTGTTTTATGTTTGTGGCCGTAAGTTTATAAAAAAAGACCATGCTTGTGGTGCATGTTATTGTTTTAATTTTAAAAATGTTGGAAAACAACTGATCAGAACAGGGGAAGAAGAAACCATGTATGCTAGGCTTGCTACCTTTAAACCTTCTCAAAAACTGTTGTGCATGGAATTTAATAAATGTCAACACAAACCTCTCAAGTACCCTTTCAGTCACACTTTGGCACCTGCTCAAATGCTATTTTCTCCATTTAACAGTAATGCGACCATCTTAGAACAAAGTTGATGGTTTTTAAATGCTCATAACATTCAATAATTTCAATAGAGTTCAAACATGCACCAATAATACAATAATTTGACTCAACAAACATATGGAGGAAGGCTTGTCATCATATCCATAGAGGCACTTAGGTTTTCTGAAAATGAAGAGTGTCAAATTCACATCTCAATTTCCTGCTCATACAATAACTTCAATCTAGGCCATGCTTAGCATCAAAGTAATCAAACTATATAGGTAAGCTGTAATTGCCTTACATTATGTTTGTACCACCACTATCAACTGATGTGCGTTGAGGAAATGAGAAGACTTGGTGTTGATTAGAGATGGCATTGAATCGATTTAGGGACAAGGAAGCAAGTATGGCGCACCATATGCATCACCCACAAAAGAGATGGGACATTCACACTCATTCAACATGTAAATGCAGCGGAGCAACATTAAAGTTTAAGAGAACTTAGTTTGGCCATCAAGCAGCAAGCATTTGGCTGCCAATGCCTTTTTTTTATTATTTATGAAATATAAATCATGCAGTGTTACATTCTAAATACACCATACTTCGTACTTTCTGGGGCACGGTTGATGGAAGCAGAGATGCAGAAACCTATGATTTTTCTTGTGTCTGCCGGATCAATGATGCCATCATCCCAGAGTCTTGCTGTGGAGTAATAAGCACTACTTTCTCTATCATATGCCTCCACAACTTTTGCCTTGAATTTTTCCTCCTCTTCCTTCGCCCACTGCAAAGTGTGCACACAGGAGTTCAAACCAACAGGCGGAGGCAAATCATGGTGCTTTAACTCAAAATAACATTATTTTTCTCAGAAACACAGGGAAGGGAGTCGTACCTGAATTCCTTGTTTTTTCTTGTTGCTCTTTTCTATTTGGGAGAGCACACCAGCAGCCTGAATCATGCCACCAATACAAAGTAAATAAGTCTATACAAACTAATTTTCACAGGAGCTTTTCATGCCTAAGCACACAGATAAATTCAGATCTCAAAAAGATAGTACTCTAAATGTGTATAGTATGAAATCAGGAAGTTAACATCACCGTGTAAAATCAGGAAACCAGGAGATTGATAACGTTTGGCAAAAGATCCATAAATGAAATGCAAAATGTTAAAGATTGTCTTAGTGGAAAAAAAAGTATTGAATGGTGAAGAAATTTTCCAAGAAAAAGAAATAAATGGGCCATTAAAAAAATGTGTGTGAATGTTGAGCATAACTTAAAAAGTTACACCTATTATTCATCAATATAAAAGCATAATTACTGAATTAAGCAGGACATGTTTGGGTTGCATACACGTAACAAAAATATTGCATATAGTTCAAAATTAATGAATCAGGTACACTTAGAGCGGAGGAAAACACAAAATACAGATTTTTGACATCTGGGTTATATGCACAAGTGTAGTTGAGTAAACACCTGAGCACCCCCCATCACCGATATTTTGGCATTTGGCCAGAAGAACATGAAATTGGGACTATATGCACGGCCACACATCGCATAGTTTCCAGCACCAAAGCTTCCACCAACAATAATGGTAACTTTAGGAACCTGTACCAACATTGATCATAAGAAGAGCGGAAGTATTTTTCTTATTTTTGATTTTTGACTTTTTTTTTTTTGATTTTTTTTTTTTTTTTGGTGACTTAAAACTGTTATTAAAGAACAATGTAAAAATATGTACTTGTGACTTGAAAACTTTTTATTTCTATAACATATAAACGCTTTCAAGTTACATTTAGAAATAAGAAGGTTAGCGATTAGAAATTGTTATTATATCTGAAAGATTAACATAATTAGATGGGAAACTGTGGCACATAAATTGATTGAATTAGCTATAGAGAGAAGTGGACAAAACTAACCTTGGCACACGAAACCGCCATCACCATTTTTGCTCCTGATTTTGCTATACCATTTGCCTCAGATTTTGAGCCAACCTACCATACACATAAACGTCATAAATCCGTGGTAACTAAATTCAAATGAACTTCCAATCTCAAGAAATATGATTTCATCGAAAAGGAACAACAGGAACAAACAGTTGTCCAAACATGCTCATCAAATGCCAAAGATCATAATTTCAGCGACAAGCAAAAAATGGATGACGTTCAAACTCAGTTTTGACCCAGTTTATCCTTCTATTTGATCATCTAGAAAATTAATCCCCAACTGCTAATTGGCATACTTCTATTCATCATCACCTCCTAATTTTGAAATATTCATAAAGCCAGGAACCTAAAAATTTTATCGCATTCATTTGATGGGCATCCTTACTTTACAAATTTGATGTCACAATTGATGGAAAGCTTCAATGAGTAATCAATAGAAAACTTGAGAATTTTTTACCATAAAGCCTGTGATGTTTTGAAGGAAGACCAAAGGAATGTTACGTTGAGCACATAATTCAATGAAGTGGGCCCCTTTCAGAGCAGATTCGTTAAATAGTATCCCATTGTTCCCAATAATTCCCACTGGCTGTCCCAAAATTCTAGCAAAGCCGGTTACAAGGGTCTGCATAAAGGCAACTGTAATTAGCAAACTATAAAATAGCATTAGTAAAAACAAAATGACATAGCATTCCAGTGATCCAAATGCCCTCACAGTGCCATACAATTTCTTGAATTCATCAAATTCACTTCCATCAACAATGCGAGCGATAACTGATCGAATATCAAAAGACTGCTTGAGGTCTGTTGGTGCAATGGAACGAAGCTCCTTTACATCATACAATGGCTCTTTATAGTCAGGGCTGTTATTTTGCCATCCATTTATCAACCCTTGATTCCCAGCCATGTGCAAGTTCTTAATGATATTCCTCCCTATAGCTAGTCCATGCAGTTCATCTACAAAAATAGACATAAAATCTCACTATGTCATCGCTATGATAGGAAGCAATAGGTTCAGATTCCTGTTTGGCAAATTGTCCTGGAGGGGGAGAAAGAGAGAGAGAAAGAATGGAACTTCTTTTTCATATCTATTTATAAAGGTCTGACAAGCGTGAGATTTAACATTTCATACTTCCTCTTTTTTTCCTTTTCTCTGGTCAGAGAAGAATGTACTTATGACATCAGATTTAAATCTTCAGCACTTGAATATGTAAGTGCCCCATCTGGACAATGATTCACAAAATTTGCATTTTTCAATGTTTTACAACGGAGTTAAATTTCCCTAATCTTTCTCATTTTCAGGACCCGCAAACTCTGTCAATTAGATGTGTTCATTATAATCATATAATATGCCTAAAAAGGTGCAAAAGCAGAGTGTTGTAACATGTCTTCTATAAAGGTAAGTTCCCAAATGCTTATATAGCTGCTGCTTCAACAAAACAAATTATTGGGTATTCATTACCCTTCAAGTTATCTAATAAAACTTGGGGCCAAGTGTGCACCCCAGAACTAAGTAATCCTGCATATGCCGCCGAGACACGGGTGCAGGATATTGTTAACAACAGCAACCAACTGGCTTAATGGTTAAAATGAAATAAAACAAAATAACGTCCTTTTGACTCTTAGTTCATAAATGCCAATGTCAGACTTCAATGTCAAAATTACATTACTTTGCCACCTAATTCTTCACATAGTCTATGATCCATAAATCATGAGATAAAGAAACAGGAATACCTTGAGCAAAATAATCTGAAACACCTGATGTCTTGCAATGCACAATTGCGCCCCCCAAATCCTCAGCAGAAACTTCCTCTCCAGTAGCAGCCTGCCAAAACTTCGCCTTTAGATACATCTAACCCATGGTATTTGATACATGTGCACATGCGGATGTCCTATACACACTTCAGTTTGCATATATTTAAAAAGCCCATGAACAGATGCATATAAGCATACTTAACTTTCTTTTATCTGTGAGATGCATATTTACATAACTTTTAATCTAAGGGATGTATATATCATTTATGTCTATAATAAACCATAATATATCCATATTATGCAAAGTGATTATGAAATGGATCTAAAGGTTATGACGTGAGGTATTTCTGGAAAATCAGAACACCCTGCACTAACCTTCACAAGTGGAGGGCCAGCTAGAAATATAGTGCCATTCCCTTTCACCATTACACTTTCATCAGCCATTGCAGGAATATAAGCACCGCCTGCAGTACAAGAACCTAATACCAGTGCAATTTGTGGAATTCCTTCTGCAGACATATTAGCTTGATTGTAGAAAATTCTACCAAAATTATCCTTGTCAGGAAATACATCTGCCTGCTTTGGAAGGAAAGCACCTCCACTATCAACAAGATATAAACATGGTAGTTTGCATTGAGCTGCAATCTCTTGTGCCCTAAGATGTTTTTTGACAGTGATGGGATAATAAGTTCCTCCCTTCACTGTGGGGTCATTTGCTACAAACATACAAAGTCTTCCATGCACTGGTCCAATTCCGGTAATTATCCCAGCAGACGGTAAGGGTTCGTCATATAGTTCATGGCCTGCAAGCTTAACCCATGAAACATGAATTAGGAGCAGAAACATCACAAAATAACTCAAACAAAAAATAATATGAATGCAATCGACAGTAAGAGTTTGTTTTAATCTGAATACTAGAATTCATGAATGTTTCTCAGGTAGAGCTGTCTGTGTATGTTTGTGTGGGTGTATTGGAGGTCAATCTTCTAATGTTATGGGAACATTTAATTGACCAAGAATGAGCTCCGCCAAGAATTGTGCTGTCTGAGGAACAAGTGCTTCTGAAATCTACACTGGCCGGGTGTGATCCTTATTGTTGGACGAACGATGTAGCTCGTAGTTCTATTTTTAATCATGAATAAATCAATTTTACGGCCAGTGCATGCTCGGCAATCCCGAGAATAAAGCCACAAACTAGTTGGTCCCCTCCACGCACATTGCGACAAAAGGTTTGCAACAACGTAGTTTAGCCCCTATTCCTCGGAAAATTCTATTTCTCATAGAAAGCAAACCAATGTGCCTAATCAACCTTTCATTAAAAGCAAAATAAATGTCAACGCTTGGTCATCCAACCAACCATTGAATGTTCAGTTTTAAACCTTGTAATTTATGAGTGAACTATCGGGTTGAGTGATTTCCTTATGTTTAAATAACCAAATGGTCCGAATTGCAAACCAATTGCACTGTCTCCTATAATTCGACATCATAGTAAAAAATTTATCATTCAAGGCAGTATAGACATACACCCCATTCTTCATCTTCTTCTTATTTTTATTTTATTTTCTCTATTATTTTCTCTATCTATTATAAACCTAGAGAAGGCAATATCATTGAGATTATTCCATAACATCCTCTTCTCTATTAGTTTCCAATTAATTTGGGACTACTGAGTAAGTTATCAACCAATTTGTTTTATTTTTTATTTTTATTTTTAATTATATATTCTGTCTACATGATTCTTATGGTTAAGCTTAACAGTGATTCAACTTCCAACAGCAAAAGAGAAATGACGGTATATAAACAACAAAAAGTTAACAGCAAAAAATCTATATAACCTGAGAAAGCTCAATGAAAGAAGAGCCAGGATCAATGAGGCGATCGATTCTCTCTCTGGGTAGAAGCTTATTCCTACTTCTATTTCTCTTCACAGATTCAGGTCCTCCTCCAGCCAAAACCTATAAAAAACAAAAACCCAATTCGTCACACTATATACACACAAAGATATATAAAGAGAGAGAGAGGTAAAGGGGACCTTGTCGATGTGAGAGTGAAGTTGGGATATGATGGTGTCCATGAGCTTTGAATTATGAGCGAATGCGTCGGAGCTCCGGTCGACGCCGTCGGGAAGGACACCCAAACAGAGATGTCTTGTGCTCTGGAGAAATGGATGGATTGAGTTGTTGTTCCTCCTCCATGAAATTGGATTTGAAGTAGCTGATGCTTTCACTGCTGAAGTTATTCTTCTTGCCAATGCCCTACTCATTTCGAGTTTCTCTATCTCTCCTCTGCTTTTGCCGAGGGATGGATTACTCTCTTCTTCCTTTATCGTTGTCGCTAGCTTGCCTGTAACACATATCCATTTCAGTTGTGGCACAAATATTAAGTAATAATAAATATTAAAATAATAAAACGAGATAGGTATGGACACTCATCTTTAGAATGAAATGACATAATTGCCTTCAAAAATAAGCACTCTACAATATTATCCCATATGCTTTTGAGTAGAATTTTGAATTTTCGTTGCTAAAATTCTTAAATGGAGTACAAATGAAAAAAAAAAAAATGTGAATATTATTTTCAATAATAAAATACCTTATATGGAGAACACAATTAAATAATTAGGCTCATAAGTTGGAATTAAAAAAACAAATAGAATTCATGTAACCACACTACAAGAATTCAGGGTATTAGGGACAAAAAAATTTATTCTTAAAGATGGCGAAGCTGTCCCTAATACCTTTTGGAAACCTTCGATGCAATCGTCTTAATATGTAAATCGTTTCAAATACTTATTCGGGACAGATAATTGTCCTGTTCCAAATACCTATTGGGGACAGATAATTGTCTTCCCCAAATAACATACAATGACTATTTCATTTAGGCATTGATGACTGACTGACTTAATATGAAAATGAATTTCTTGTACAAGCTTTTCAATATTAAGTCAAAGTTATGACAACCAAACGCGCGAATAAGGGAAGTTCAAATTTTATTATTATTATTATTTTGGTTGGTAAAACGAGTACCTATTATTTCTGCTATTTTCATTTATGTGTTTCATTCATTAAAAATATTAAGAAACTGAATTTCATGTGAACACAAGTAAAGAAGCTAAATTTTAATGGCCATTACTTAAAAAACAATGTACAAATCCCACTTACATCAATTCCACTCAAATATGTACCAAATAATATAGTATCTAGACATCAATGTTTGAATACATTCATCCAATAGAAGTTATCGAATGCCTCTGATGATGATTAATTGGGTCACCGTATTGTCCTGCATTATTAAACAAATGAATATACAACCATTAAACAGAATAAATGACTCCAAAACTAAAATCCAGATACCAACATAATAGCAATGTAATCCGTATTTGAAAGTGATACGCATATGTAACACATATGCTTGAATGCCAAAGTCATTTAAATTTAGAATAGCAATGTAATGCAGTATTTGAAAGTGATACTTTGGCAATTTGTAAGGCAATTCAAGAAAGAATTAGTTGATACATATGCTATATAGATATTTCCTCCATATTGCATCAGCCGCAAGAGGCTTATATGTTAAACCATGTTTCAAGTCCAAGATCAATCAATGAACGAAATAGTTAAAAAGAACTATTCTGCATAATAAACTACATGCATTTGATTGACTAATGTCCTCAATAGTTTGAAAATAAGTTGAATGTGACTGTATATCTTAATTCTATTTTATGAATGAAAAAGCTTTTTCTTTGCCAGAATAAAATAGAAACCAAAACTAAAAAAAATAAAACGATTTTATTTCAATAATGATAAATTCTCTGATCCAGTCTTGAAGTTGGGAAGCAACTTTTCTTATGACACAGGCTATTTTTCTTATGCATACTTGAGGACTAAAACGTTGCCTCATAACCTGAGAAAGATGAAGATAGGTATAATGACAATAAAAATTACTTAAGCATATAAAAGTACCATTATCATATATAGAATTTTCTGCAATCATGATCAACTAGAATGAACTGACAAAATCATTTACTCTTATAAAAATAATCAAACCCACTAAAGTGACTAATATTTTTGAAACAATTGAATTAACACAAGCACGTAGGTCACAACCTGTCCTCAATAAGAGAAGAATGAAATCTGTTTCTAGAGATGACATTCATTACTAATTAATATGACATCTTAAGCTAGTGAAAAGGTCCGTGTAATTTGGGTGGCTTTATTTAGCCAATGAGCCCTTATCCAATAAAACAATGACCTTCCACATCCCAATTTTACTAATTTACAAAGAGGTTTGGCAAAATTAAAGGAAAAACAAAAACTTAAATTGATTATTACCCCTTTTTTATATTTTTTTTAATCCCTACTTCAGCAAAACTAATTTTAATAATATAAATAAAACAAATGACAAAAAAAAAAAAATCATGAAAAACCAAAATATCCCAATTACTTTCTATCAATTATCTTTTTCCCTATTTCTCAATCATGATTTCAGAATAAAAAAATGATCTGTTTACTGTTTTTTTATCTTTGTCACTAGATTAATCAATTATCAATTGTTTAAGTTAGGAGAAATTAAAGGTTGCACTGGTAGGAAATCAAACATTTAAGTTTTCAAAGGGCGTTCAAATTAAAGACACAAAATTGAAGACAAAAACATAGACATATAAATACAAATACACACTAATCCTTTAAAAGTTTGGAAAGATTACCTTCAAAAGGTTGGAGAACCGATTTATGCCGCCATCTGTATTTTCTATCTAAACAAAACTTTCTCTTCTTTTTCACTGTAATTTGGGTGTGTATCAAAGCATCGGAAAAAAAAACAAAAAACAAAAGAAAATGAGTGGAGCTACAGTTCAGAAAATTCAAATCTGTTTCGCCGATCTTTAAGAGGCCAATTAATTAAAAAGTAATTAGAAAAATATTTTGCCTATTGTTGTTATTGTCATTTGTTTTAAATACTAACAATGAAGACCAAAAAGATATTTGGAACAGTGTCTTGTATGATTAGAAAAATAGAGGATTTAGGATATTTTTATTTATTTATAAAAGTAAATTCATACTTTTATCATTTCTTACTTACATAATAAAATAAATTTTCTCTCTAAACAAATTAAGGATTAGCACCGTTGTTTCATTTTTTTTTATTTTTTTATTTTTTATCTAAGCACAAGAAAAAATTAACAGTAATATTTTTTTTCCCTCCTTTGATGTTGATATATTTTTTTTCATGTCCCTCTTAGTTGTAATAATTGTAACTTCTTTTATATGGAAAAAGTTTTTATAACATAATGATATGCTTACATTAATAAGATTAAAATTCAATTCTGGTACCAGGTCACTACTTTTCAAATGGAGATCTGGAATTTGAATCTCAAGGAGACATGCGTGGTTTAGTACCAACTAAAAATATATATATTCAATTCAAGAAAATGCATCACAATATAGAACACAACATAAAAATACAAACTCAAGTTTTATAATAAACACATATTTTACATCTTCCTTGAACCCAATAGGAAACTCCCCAAACCAGTCCCCAAAGGTTTGCTGCTTCAAAAAACTTCTTGTTCCTCAGTCAGACTCCTCAGATATGCCATTATCAGTTTATGTTTTTGTCTTGTAACCATATGAACTTCAGAGATGAACTGAACAAAAGATCCCAATGACAAAAAAAAAAAAAAAACTCAGATATTTATGATGGTTAACTAGTCCTGGAAGTAGATGGTAAAAGTGAGACCACACTTCCTTTCAGAACTATCCTAGTTGTTTTGGTAGTCAAAAGAGAAGCAAACAGACATCACACCAGCTTCAATCTACAAGATTAATCTAATCTCAGTCCCATATTTTACATACCACTCTTTGTTTCTATACATACAGACAATTACCCTTTGTAGAACAAGATATGAATCAGATCAAACTGTCCACTTCTTTTATTTGACCTGGGGACAAGTTTGTGTATTCAAGCATCAGCTCTACCAAGGGCCTGTCAATGTCCTCCTCAAGCAGAGTCTTTTACTACCCCATGGCATTTTCTGCGCTTCGGAAATCTGCAAAGAAACAAATGCAGATGGTGAATCACTTGTACTAGTGGCCAAATAAAACAAGGAACAAGCAATGTTCCTAATTTACAAGGACCACCGTGTTAAATGAGAATTTCTAGCAATAACGGCTTTTGCCTTGACGGAAAACATATGTTCCAGTTGGTCACTATTCAAATGAGCTCAATGAGTCAATCATGAAGTCTTATGGCAGCTAAAATTTTAATCCTTTTGGACTGCTATTCTTATTGCAGTTGGTTGTCTTACAGAAGTATGAAAAATAAATAAATCCAAAGAAAAAAAGAACCAGACAATTTGTAAAGAACTAAAAAGGTAAATGCCCAAAATATGCAACAACATATCTTTTTCAATTATCATACATGAATGATGAGACATGCTATCAGGATTCTTGTGCAACTCTGCATATGCTCTCCCTTTTTTATGTATATATAATATAATTAAATACAATGATTACTGTTATGGAAAACCATAAAGCAATGGGACATGTACCTGATTTTTCTGCATCTCCATTATTTCTGCCTGCAGCAACAAAAAAGTACAAGGAAGTTGTCACAACAAAAATCTTTTAATAACATTATCTTAAAATAAAAAAATAAAAAAGAAGAATAAATTAGTAAAAGTTTAGGAACACAAAAAGTTTAAATGGAATCAGTAATATACCTGCTTTTTCTGCAAATCTTGGTTAATTTCCTTCAGTTTTGCTACTTCTGCTTCCAATTCTAAGGTATATGCCTGTAAGAAGCGAAAACAGAAAACTAACATAAGAACACCAACAAATCATCTGTTGTAATCAGCAAACCTTCAAGATGACAACAATCTTTTTCTCTCTTCTTCTGCTGCTGCTGCCATTTTTTTTTTTTTTTTTTCATGACATACTCACCCGTTTGATGTAATATAGCTATTACCCTGAATTTTTCATTATTGTTCGAGTGAGCAAACATTATTTCATTTTCTTGTCATATATTTCTTTCATATGGCAGTGTTTTACTAAGGCTTCTAGAAATAAATAACATTTCAATTACATACTTGCATAGAATTATTGGGCTGCTACACGTTCATGAATGATAACTAATAAGAGATTCATAACAACCAGAAATAGAGACAAAACTCCACAGAAATTTCTGTCCAATAATTTTTCCTTCACTATTATCATCATGTGCCATATCAACTTTTATGCTCTGGAAAGTATCCAATATCGACCTTTCTTTATGGCTTTAAATTGTTAATCAATTGATCTCGATCAATATTACCTTTTCTTTGCTTTCTTCCTTTTTTGGTCACGGGGAGACCTCAACATGAATTTATTTAGCCTAGAAGTTGAGCACAGCCACCAGTTTCCTGTTTGTCATCAATTGATTTCACTTTTAAAGAGAGAATTTTTATCCAAGAAAATAAAAATCTCAACGTCATACAAGCCATCTTATTTTGAATTTCAGATTACAACAGCACTGGACTTCGACACTACATTTCTGCCCATTTCTTTTTCTACTACAGCATTCCAAGTTTCAGGTGAACTTTGGAAGCCATATGAAGAATTTATTAGAAACAAGCTGTTCTCCAACATGTAGTAACTGGAAATTCTAGATATTAGGAGGAGGTAAGGTCAATTCTAAATAAAAATTATGAGATTGTTTGAATCGGGAGTTATTGGCTGGTGAATAGGCTGGCCTTATAATTGTTTCTCAAAATCATTTTTGTTACAAATTGAGTGGGTGTGCACATACTAAGCTTTCTTATGAATGATCTGCAGTGCACTTAGATATGCAAAAGGTTACTGCAACGCCACACATCACAAACATTTAAAGCTAGCATGAACCATGAAGTCCTACTGAATCATAAAACATGATTCAATTAACCAACCCCACATAGTTGTGAAAAGGCTTTGTTGAGTTATGAAACATAAAGCCCCTGATTAGCTTCAATAATCACAAAAGAAAACTGACTGTAAATAAACTATGGTTCAAGTCAAAATAGAATAAATGGCTAAAAATGTATAATTGCTATTAGTATATTCACCTGCTTCCGAGCCCGTGACCTTGCAGCAGACTCTCTGTTTTTAATCATTCTCCTATGCCTTCTCTCCACCACTTTCTCCAGACCTCCGTTGCCCTTCCTTCCCCGTGTACCTTCACTAAACATATAAGAAACTGGTGATAGCGAAGATGTATTTATGTTACTCTTTGAATTGACATCCGTAGGCAACTGATTCACAGGAGATCCTGCAGCAACTATAGCATTCGCAGAACCTAAACCAGCCATGCTCACTGCTCCACTCTGTATGACAGCACTTTGAACCAAAGCATTGTTCATAGGAGGATCAGCCATCCCAACAACTGCACCCCTTGTTCCTGGGCTAGCCAGCTGACCATTGTTCACCAAATGCATAGGAGAGGCAAAAGCCAAAGTTGCTTGCTTGGGAAAGAGCTGCTGCTGCTGTTGTTGCTGTAGTTGTTGCTGTTGTTGCTGTAGTTGACAAGATCTGGCTCCACCTACATTCAGTCCTAAACTAGAGGACTGATTAGGAACTAAATTATTATTCTCCGTGGTATGGTTAGCCAAGACTCCATTGTTCCGAGTTGGCTGCTGAAACCCAAGAGTCAAACCAGTGTTGCTGTTACCTGGTCGTGATATTTCACCATAAAATCCACCATTAGTCTGCCTTGCAATTGGTTGAGTATCTTCTCTTACTATCCCTGCTCTCACCAGGAACTCCTCCAGTGTCATCTCTCCCAACGTCTGTTGCCTCTGCGGCAAATTTGATCCCCCACTACCACCCCCATCTTTTGCGCTGCCACTTTCTTTAAGCAAGTCTCTCCAGACTTCATCAACAGTTTTCTGGCTAAGAGTCCTTGGCAATGAAAGTGAACCCTGTTTCTGCAGATTCCCACCAGGAGTACTCCCTTCTGTTCCATTAGGGAAGGAGGCCATCGCTTGCATCTCTTCAGCTGTCCAAATGTTCTTTAAAAGCTCGTCCATGTTCATCGATCCAAAGTCCTTTCCAACCCCACCCATGCTATTTTGGAGCTCATCAAAGGTCAAGGAGTATATGGAGGACTGTCTGGCCAGCGGAAAATTCCCCACTGGTTTCCCGCCACTGCTTTCTGGCTGTGGTGTGCTATTGAAATTCTTGAAGTTTATATAAGATCCCATGTCTCAAGAATGCAAAAAATGGCAACAGCTGGACCAAAATCCCAAATTATTATATCTTATATACCCAGGCAATTGAAGTAGTTCTAGCAACAGCTGACCCAAACCGTCTTACCTATACATGAAATTGAACAATATCAAATACAACCTCAGTTCCTTTCAGCTTCCTATCTTCATTTTCAAACCCAGAATTCATACAAACATGTAAAGAGTGCGTGAGAAATTAAACAAAAATATTCAATTTCCACATATGGACAAATTCCAATAACCAAATTCAAATCACTATTATGTTTTACTTGAAACAGTACCACCATTCCCAAATAATGACGAAACAAACTCAATTACAAAAAGCCATAAATATCATATCCTACACACACAGTATTCAGTCAAGTATTATATAATATATATAGAGCAGAAACACCATTCAGGATCTTATATGTCAAATCAAAAGAAACTCAAATCTAGCTTGTGATTATATAGAGCATGAAAAGCAAGATTTTACCCACAAAATAAAATAAAATAATGAAAAGCAAGATCTCTCACATGAATCCGCTGTCAAGAATCGAAACTAGTAAAGACAAACAAGCAGTAAAAACTAGTCTATTCATGCTGATCAGAATGTGCACATTTTTTTTTTTGGTAAATATCAGAATGTGAAAGCCTTCAAGTATTAAAATTCAGATCCAAACATAACCAAAGCACACAAAACAATAAGCAAATCAAACACAACATTCAAGTTACAACTTATCAATACTGGTATCAATTCAGAACCAAACTCAAACATGCAATTTATACATTAAGTTTATAAAAATATATCCATTATCCGACCATAAAATCCAAAATTAACACCAAAAAAAAATTGCATTTTACCCCATTTCCTTCTCAAAAAACCTTCTCAAAAAAATTACTTTCATCTCCAAAAAGAAAAAGTTAAAAAAAAAAATGGAATAAAAAATCTACAAACCCTAGCCAATTTTACAACTGTATTTCACTACAACTAACAAAGAATTTGACCCAAAAAAACATTAATAATGATAAAAAAAACCAATTATCATCCGAATGTAATTTCTGTAATGATCAATGGCTCTTCATATGAGAGATGAATAGAAATACACCCAAAATATCAAATTAGGAAAGTGTAGAGACTGAGACTGAGACTGAGATATGACGCAATTTACCTTTTTTTTTTTTTCTTTTTGGGATAAAATTTGGGATGAGAGAGAGGGGGTAGAGAGAGAAAGTAAGAGAGAGAGAGAGAAAGAAGGTGGTGTTGGTGTGTCGTTTCCTTCTTCTTCGCCGGCTAGGGTTGTGGTGGAGGCGACAGGTGTCTTGAGCCGCCTCAACACGAGTCGCCATTTAAGGACCTCTTTTTTCTGTGGAAGCGTTGAGATTTACGCTCATAAAATAATCAAATTAAATCAGGGGAGTGCAACGTGGACCAATCATTGTGCTCAGTGGTTCTTGACTTGATGTGTGGCCAATAGAAGCTCGCGACGTGGGAGAATCTGATCCGTTCTTTCACCCTTTCCGACATCCTCATCACGTTGTCCAAATCATTTTGATCGCTTCACTTAACGGAGTGGAGACGCGAAGGCCTGGAGTAAATGTGCCGCCCTGGGTGTGTTGTACGCACGCCACGTGCAGCCAAAACATTGCCTTTCACTTTGCCGCACGTGAGCAACTTTTTTTTTTTTTTTTTTTTCCTGTTAATATTGTCCTATCAGTGTTTTTTTTTTTTTGTTCTGTTTTTTTTTTTCCATGCAAAGTCATTAATGGGGATACAGTGACAAAAGTCAAATAAAAAAAAAAAATTATACAAATCATGAAACAAAATAAAAAAATTGAACGACGGGTCCAAATTTGTTAAAAATAAGAGCCAAAGTTCTGTAACGGAAATCACTAAAGAAGAAAAGCAGCAATAGGAGACTATCATTAAGACAACAGCTCTAAAAGTAAACTCACAAGATACTCCGACAGGAAAAAATCACCCAAATTCCGTACATGATCAAATCAAGAACAAAGATTAGATCAAATCGAAAACAACAAAAACCAACTTAGATCAAGATCTAATCGGAAAAAAAACAGATCCACCCATATTAACTGAAAACAAGCCAAACATGAGCAAATTTAATTGAACAAAAACAAAAACGACGTGAAAAACACCTATAGAGTGAGCTTATTGAAACACACCAAATTTATTGAAATCGTGGCTATTGGAGAAAGGGAGAAAGAGTAGAGAGTCAGTTACAGACTGCAGGTTTTTTAGTTCATTACTTAAAAAGTGAAAAGAAAAGAAGGGAAAATTTTAAAATTTTGTATGTTAGGTTACAAATTAAAAATTGGAAACAAATGATAAAAAATTATGTGGTTCACTGTTTTTTTAACAAATTGTATTGCTTAAAATTTAAAATAACCTCCTTTTTGACATGATAGTTTTTATCTTCTCTCATGTCAATGAATTTGTAAAAATTACTTAAGAGAAAGAAAAAAAATATCAGTTATAAAAAGTCTATTTTCAGATAATTGTCTTTTAAGTTTTGTTTGAATACATAAGAAAAAAAAAAAAAAGGAAATAAATAATAGTATAAGTTATGAGATAAAACAAAAGAAAATAAATGATAACAATAATCTTTATTGATATTTAGATAGGTAGAAGAAAAGACAAAAGATATTATTCTTGTTTAGATATCACGAAAATAAATGATAACAACCAAATTATTATTATATCGATTTATATATATATATATATAGGATTTGAGTATAAAAATATTACTTAAACATTATCACTTCTCTCTAAATGAATCATACCCTATCTCTCCCTATTATTTATTTTTTCTCATTTTTAACCAACCAAACACATCCTCACTGTCCTTTCTTTTATTTTCTTTCCATATCCCTCCAAATCTACCCCATCCATACTTGCCCTTATAGCTATCATAAAACAATTTTATGTTTTCTAAATGCTTGAAAAATTTTTTTGAGTTACAAACCAAACATGTCCTTACTTTTCCCTTCATATTTCTCTAAAAATTTTCATTTCATTTATTTTCAAATAACAAAAAATAATATAATATTTCTTTCGTTTTTTTATTCTTCCACCAAACTAGGCCTAAATAAATTTTTTTTTTTATAGAAAATACACACTCATTTAGAATGTCCTGCAAACTGCAAACTGCAAACTGCAAACTGCAAACCCCAAACCTACCTCGTACCAATGGAAGGGCATCCTAGTAACTTCTATAATACTTCCTCTTCCGAGTAGGCAAGCACAAAGCAGAACAACCTACAGCTGCTGGAGTGGGGGCACATGATTCTCAGAACCGATTCGTATGGAAATAGCAAAGTCTAAGGATCAAATTCTTGTTAAGATTTATCAACTTGGCAATGTTTGAGTAACAACTCAAGCTATTTTAGACCTTATTTGGCAATCATTTTTGTTTCGTGTTTTTTGTTTTTTTTTTTTTTTTTATCTTAAATAGAAACAACATTTTTTTTTTTTTATCTGTGGATCGTGTTTAACAATAATAAGAGTTATATTTGTTGTAAGATTTTTTTAAGAGCAATTTTTTTAGTGTTAATCACTACGTTATTTTGCGAAAACAACTCAAAACATCAATTTGATTCTTCCAATTTTGACCTCTTCGAAAAGATTTCAATATTATTCAAATATATTGCAACAAATGTTATTCAATTTACAATTTCAAAGGTGAAAAACAAAAAGTAAAAATGCTTGTTAATTTATCTTCTGATTCTAGAATCATTTTCAAATATCCTAAAAAACATGTACAATATTTTATAATTATTCAATGACAATCATGTCCATTATCAACATATTTTGCTTGCATCATTCCAAAAAAAAAAAAAGCAATATTTTCTAAAGAGAGGTGATATTCGCATTTCACTTTTTTTATTTATTTTTATTTTTTTTACGTTTGCACTCCAATCTAAAAAAAAATGGCAATTCTAAATAATTATTTTTTAAAAATGACACAACTGGAAAATTCTCTTCTTATCTCTAATCTTTAATATTTTGGGTCTCTTTAGACAAGAAAAAAAAACTTACAGGACAAAAAATATATATGTTGAATAAATTGTCTCCTTTGACTGTATGAAAAAAAGAAGAGGATTAAAAAAATAATAATAAGTTATTTCTATTAAATAAATTATTTCTTTTGACGGGATCATAAAATTACCAAAAGAAAAAAGAACACTTGAAAAAAGTGAACTTTGTTGAATTAATTACCTGAAAAAAAAAAAAAGAAGTCATTATTGAATAAATTATCTCTTTTGACTGTAAAAAATGAAATTATCTGTATAGATCGAATAAATTATCTTCTTTAAGAGGGCTTCCGAAAAAAAAGTATGTAAAAAAAAAAAATTTAATTTGTATGAAAGGTAGTTATGACATTATGAAATGACAATTTTTGCCTACTTATCGGTGAGTAGGAAGTTTATACTTACCCCGATGTGACGCAAAATTAATGGAACATGTGTCCCTACAATACATGATAATAAAAATTAAAAGATTTGAGAAATTATCCGAATTAAACCCAATATGATCCAAATGTAACCTCTTCCCCTCTCTCACTACTCTTTTTGTTCAGGGAGTGAATGAGAAGGGAATTTTGTCGAAAAAAAAATATTTTAAGTTAAATTTTTTAAATAATAATATTACAAGATACAAATAAAGTTTTGGATGATGAATACAAATAATAATTATAAATGTAATGATACATAAATATTTGTTTTTCCCCTAAAGAAAAAGAAGATCAGAAATAAGTAATAACAATCTATTTTACAATCAACAAATCATCTATCAAATCATGTGAACCAGATTTTATGTAACTTAGTGTACTTTAAATAAAAATAATTGATAAGTATATATAAGGATTACACATTATATCGTAAAAAATAAAAGTCAAGACTTCCGCTGTTAGCAGATTAGGATTTCACCGGAATAGTTTGAGAGAGAGAAAGAGATAGAGAGTTAAATTACGATTTAATTTGCATCAATTTGGGTTGATCCAGTAAGCATTCAGTTTTTTTAATTTTCATTTTTTATTTTAAGAATACTTGTCACATTACTTTTGCGCCACATCAGGAGTAAATATGTATTTCCTACTTACCGATGAGTAGACAAATATTGTCCATTATGAAATAACTAATGATGAATTCAACTATTTTCTTATTACTTTTTTAAAAGAAAAAGGTAAGTGAAGTGTAATAGAGAATATCGCCATTTTTTTAAAACAGCAAATTATTTGTACAATGCCAGCCTTAAAGCCTATAATTGTCTAAGATAAGTGTCTAGTTGCCTGCCCCCATCAATTCCTTTAAGTTTAGGTCTTGTGACTATACTCCCTAGTAGGAGTGTTTCACGCGTTAGTTGGGCCATTGATCTTAGTCGATCAAGGATAAACATTCGTTGTTTACGCCATGAATTACGCGGGTATGTAATCCTTTTCGCTCCGAATGCTTTCGCACCCAGCATTGATAAGGACCGGGAGAGTTGCCTTCGCTTTTAAAATTCCTTGGTACATTTGTGGATGTAACCCTACACAAAATTCCACTCTCCTCCGTGTTCAAGTTTGCACTCTTTCCCTACCCTAACGATTATCCCTTAACATTTTTATCATGAAAATAAGAAAATAAAAAAAAAATTTGTGAAGATACTTCCAAAGGAGAGGATAAAAAGAGGGTGCGAAGTGGGCATTAAATGGAACAAAAGTCTAAAGCCCATTTCAAAATCGTACAAGTGATAGTGCAGTGGGTATCAGACTATATCTGTGTATCACATTATAGACAATGCAAAGTCGGTCAGGGTGACACGACATCATTTGGGTCACATAATGGAGTGCCCTTGCAAGTTGCAACATGTGTCTCTCCATTATTGATTCGCAGAACAAACAAAAGACCTTTACGGTGGGCCCCCACACCGTACCAGGTCCAACTTCAACTGTTACGTCCATACATACGCTTCCTTCATTTTGCCCACAGTTGAGGCATTTGCTGACCCAATACAATTGTTGATCCAACCCCTAATGGTTTGGACACAAAAAAATATCCCCAGCCCCTATCGTAACTTTTTTTCCGCACTCCCCAGCCCCTATCGTAAAACTTTTTTACAGTGTGGCTTACATGATTGATAAGCGTCTTAGTGACAATGTTGTTATACAACAGTTCAAATTAATCTTATTGATTAAATTGGTATGTATTTTACTCTGAAGTTTCAATGGAATTCGTCCTAAAATATTATTTAAAAATTATTTTTCTTAATTTTCGATGTTTGAGAGAATTCAATGTTAGAAAATTATTTTCCTTGTAAATCATTTTATCTCCAAATGACTTAGAATTATTTATCAAAAAAGTTTTCGCAAGTCATTTTTCACATGCGACTTTGGACCTTGGGTCGTCTAACCATCTTAATTCTAATTGAAAACTCATATAAACAACTAATTTTTTTGAGTCTTCATAATCTAAAAATCTAATCTTTAACATTTTCTCTTTATACATATACATAGAGTGAAAGGAGAGAGAGAAAGTGATACAAATTTGAATCGGTATTGTGAATGAGAGTAAAATTTGTTTAGCATATATAAGAGAGAGAAATTAATTATGTATGAAAACTGATTTAAAAAATGTTTTATAAACTATTGTCATATACCAAAAAATATAACAAATAAAGAAAATATTTTACATGATTTTTTTTTTTTTTAAAAAAACATTTTACATCCAAACAAACATAATCTTAGTATAACAGGCCATTAATATTTTACAAAACCAGACAAAATGTTTGTATTGGAAACATTTTTTATTTATTTATTTTAAATTAGTTGTATATGATACTGACAATTGGATCAACCATTGCATTCAATCCTCAAAGCACTAAACTTTTTGATTTCTAATGATAAATAATTGATATATTTACGTGAACTTTTGTCGATTTGGATATTCTAACGTATAGTGAATGAATTTGACCTTAATCCTGCCACTCCTTGGGTGAGAATCAAATAATTTACCACACGCTTAAAAGAGTAATGATGGTCATAAAATGCATGAGATAAAAATGTGGCCCACGTTTTCTTATATCTGGCATTAGTTACCAATCAGATTTAGTACCCACCTTTTTTTATATTTCTAATGATAAATAATTGATATATTTACGTCAACTTTTGTCGATTTGGATGTTCTAAACGTATAGTGAATGAATTTTACTTTAATCCTTCCACTCTTTGGGTGAGAATCAATAATTTACCACACGCTTAAAAGAGTAATGATGGTCATAAAATGCAAGATATAATTCTAAAATTTTTTCACACTGCATTCTTTTCGTAACCTTCTATCTTAAAATCTCAACTCATACAACATTTTTTCATTTTAAATTTTTACTCCGAAATTATCAAATATAACATTTAGAAAAATAAATTTAGATATTTTGACGCATACTCTAAATATTTTTCATAATTTTCCATATAGAAATATTGTAAAATACTGCCATAAAAGTTTAACATATCCACACATATAAATATGGAAAAGACTTGTCTCATCGGTGAGTAAGTCATTCTTACTTACCGCTGATGTGGTTCAATCAATATAAAAAAAATGATAAAAAGGGACAATAAATTTTTTTTTTTGGAATAAATCCAATTATCCACTATAATTTCCTAATTTATCACTTTGCGAATTATTTGTGCATTTGTGATTGGAACACATCAACAATCAATAGAAATGACCTACTCACCTATGAGTAGATAAGTCTTGTCCTATAAATATTAGCTTGCGTTCCATAATTTTTTTTTTTTTTTTAGCTAAAATCCATCATTTGTTCATAACAAATATTTTTCATATTAATTAATAACTAAATATTCCTTTCAAAGAGATTATTTATAGAATTTTTTTAAAAGAAAATTCTATAAAAATTTCATTCTTTGTAGGCAATATGTCATTTCAAATGTAACTGTCTTAAAAGAAAATCCTTTAAAAAAAATCCAAGAATCATAGGCTTTATTACCAAAAGGCCTCAAATCTAAATCACCCGAGTCTATTCCCTCTTTGCCCAATCTGGTGCATCAAAACGGCGCAGTCTTAATTCCCTCTCTCTCTCACAAACCCTAATCCCCAAAACCTGAGTGCTGACCGTTATTTGCTTATCACAACTCTGTCTCTCTCACACACACAAACCCTAACCCCTAAAACAGGGCCGGCCCTGGCCCAAGGCGACCAAGGCGGTCGCCTTGGGCCTCAGATTTTAGAGGGCCTCAAGGGATGGAAAAAATAAAAAATAAAAATAAGTTAGGGCAAGTTTCAGACGATACAATCTGCTTCGACACTCCGCAGGGCGCCTCCGCTATCTCCTCAGGTGACAAGGTTTGTTCATCCTCTCTCTCTCTCTCTTCTCTCTTCTCTCTCCTTTTGCATGAATCGATCTTTAATATATGTTTCTTTCTTTCGTTCATCTCATCATTTGATTTGTTCTAACTTTGGTTCGTTTGATTCGGGCCTTTACCTTTGTTCCAATAGTGAAAAGTAGCTAGGGTTTTGTGTGTGTCACTGTCCGTGATGGCTATCAAAAGCTGAATGAATATATTATGGTTCTGTTAGTATTTTAATAAATGTGTGCCTTTCTACATGTGTCTTTCATGGCGATCAAGTCCATAATCTATGGAAGGTACTTTTTTTTTTTTTTCCCTCTCCCTAAGTCCACTCCAATCTCACAACAGCAGCAACCATACCCCTTTTCCTCATAATTTTTTGCGTTTTCACATTCAATCCCACGAAAATTAAGGATCCCTTCTCGTGGGTTGAGATAATAATTAACTTTTTCGATCTCTAAATTATGCTCATACTTAAAAGTGCCAAATTAAGGGTTTTTTATTTTTATTTTTATTTTATTTTTATATGAAGATACAGACCACCATTATTGATGTTATTTGAAGTTGGCTCAGCTAGAATTTCAGTTAATAATACTGTCAAAACACTTGCCAACAGAATGTACAAACACATGGAAATCAAGAGCAGGCTTTAACAAAACAAAAGTTAATGGTTTTTTCTATTAATTTGCACAGGTCTTCTGTAGCAATGATCAATCAATCACTGTGGGTAATTGGCTCCCAAAAAACACACACACAAAGTGCAGTGTAGGTAATATAAAGAGTGAAAGAGACAACTATATATGATAGTGGATGACACATATAACCTAAAAGTCCCACTACTTCTTCAGTACTACAAGTTCAGCCTCCTATATATATATATATATAGTCACCTCATCACCACATATTTTTGGCATATGTAATCATCAAATTTTAGTTGCTATATAAACAATGCATGTAAAAGAAGCTGCAGTTTTCTGTTCTCTTTCATTTTTTGTTTTGTGCCAGTGAAAATTTTGCACTCTTTAATCGATAAATTTATTGTTATTAGTTAGCTGTCTTATGCACACTGCACATGCACACAATTTGCGCACTATTTATCGGTGGTGATAAAAATTTATAATTATTAGTTAGTTGTCTTAAGCACACTGCACAAACGCACAATTATTTATTGGTGGTGATAGATTTATACTTATTAATTAGTTGTCTTATGCTCACTGCACAAACGCACAATTATTTATTGGTGGTGATAGATTTATACTTATTAATTAGTTGTCTTATGCACACTGTACAGACGCACAATTATTTGTTGGTGGTGATAACTTTATAGTTATTAGTTAGTTGTCTTATGCACAATGCACAGGGGCACAATTATATTAGATATAGAATTTAAAAACTTCGGGTTAAAATTTCGCACTCTTATAATTCTTTTTTGTGTGTGTGAAACTCAAGGGCCTCACATTTGAAAGTTCGCCTAAGGCGTCTCAAAATATTCGGAATCTCAGGGCCAGCCCTGCCCTAAAACCTCTCTGCTGGTCGCTTATATATGTTCTGTTCACAGCCAGCCATTCCGACTTCATTTATCGTCTGATATTGCCGTGAACTTACATGTATGTTCAGGTACTATTACTTATTTGTTATCGGTTTTTCGGTTTCCATAGCAAAATTCTACATGTTTTTTAATTACAAATTTATCTTCTACTTTCCAGAGTTACATGGGTTAACTCCAATCCTGCTTGTTAGATTCGTTTTGTGCATTTGCTCTTAATTTATGTTTCTAATATATATATATTTGATAAATGAATCATATTTATTCACTTTTCCCTGAAAAAAATTAAACTTTTAATGTCTCTATTCTCAAGCTCCTTCACACTTCTAGTATTTGTGCACAAGACACGCATATAAAACTTTTTGAATTTTTTGCTGATTTTGATATACTGTCTGTGTGCTCAGATTGGTGCCATCCTGTAAATGTAGGCATTTTCAGAAGTATATTCCATTCCTTCAAACCCCTAACTGGTCATATTCCACCACTGCAAGTTGTTTATTAATTCCTTCACATGGCATTGAGAACAAGAACAAAGAGATTAATTTTGAGCTTTTATTCCACTCATGCACCAAAACCCACCTTGCTAAGCACCTTCACGCCCTTCTTATTGTGTCGGGGAAGGTTCAAAGTACTTTTATTGCCAGTAGACTCCTTAATCTTTATGCCAATCTTGGCGATGTTTCTTTGTCCCGTGGCACCTTTGATCAGATCCCAGAAAGGGATGTCTATACCTGGAACTCCATGGTGTCTACTTATGTTCGCAATGGTCGTTTCTCTGAAGCTGTAAAGTGTTTGTATGAAATGTTACTGACATCTAAAGTTCGGCCTGACTTCTATACTTTTCCTCCGGCGTTAAAAGCTTGTGGTAATTTACTTGATGGGAAGAAGATACATGGCTGGGTTTTCAAATTGGGTTTTGAATGGGATGTCTTTGTGGCTGCTTCCTTGGTGCATATGTACTGCCGATTTGGTTCTGTAGTTGTTGCCAATAAAATATTTAATAATATGCCATTTCGAGATAGGGGTTCTTGGAATGCCATGATTTCTGGGTTTTGTCAAAATGGAAATGCTGCAGAGGCTTTGAGTGTCTTGGATGAAATGAGATTGGAGGGGATGAAAATGGATTCAGTTACTGTTTCGACTATTCTTCCTATTTGTGCACAAATGGATGATATCTTACATGGAAGGTTGATCCATTTGTATGTCATAAAGAATGGATTGGAGTTTGATGTGTTTGTGTCCAATGCCTTGATTAACATGTATTCTAAATTCGGTAACTTGGGGCACGCACGGGAGGTTTTTAATCAAATGATGGAAAGAGATTTGGTGTCTTGGAACTCCATAATTGCTGCATATGAGCAGAATGGTGATCCTAATACAGCAATTAAGTTCTTTCAGGAGATGCAGTTCTATAAAATTCAGCCTGATTTTTTGACACTGGTGAGCTTAGCTTCTATTATTGGGCAGTTTGGAGACTGTCCAAGTAGCAGATCTGTTCATGGATTCATCCTGAGGAGATGTTGGATTATGGAAGATGTTGTCATTGGAAATGCAGTTGTGGATATGTACTCGAAGTTGGGTATTGTAGATTATGCGCGTAAAGTTTTTGAAGAAATTCCTTTCAAAGATGTGATTTCGTGGAACACCATGATCACGGGTTATGGCCAAAATGGTTTTGCTAGTGAGGCCATTGAAGTATACTGCATGATGGAAGAGTTCGAGGGCCTCACACCAAACGAAGGTACTTGGGTAAGCATTTTACCAGCTTACTCTCATGTTGGAGCCTTGCAACAGGGTATGAAAACTCATGGACGGGTGTTAAAAACCGGTCTCGACTTGGACATCTTTGTTGGTACTTGCCTTGTTGACCTTTATGGAAAATGTGGGCGACTGGATAATGCAATGTCTTTATTCAATGAAATACCCAGGATGAGTTCGGTCCCTTGGAATGCCATAATTTCTTGTCATGGAATTCATGGGCATGGTGAGACATCTCTGCAACTATTCAGAGGTATGCTGGATGCGGGAGTGAAGCCGGATCATGTAACCTTTTTATCTCTATTAACAGCTTGTAGTCATTCAGGGTTAGTTGATCAGGGTCAGTGGTGCTTTCATGTAATGCAAGACTATGGTATTAAACCTAGTTTGAAACACTATGGCTGCATGGTAGACTTGCTTGGTAGAGGTGGATATTTAGGAAAGGCATATGATTTCATAGAGAGTATGCCTATAAAGCCTGATGCTTCAATTTGGGGAGCTCTTCTTGGTGCTTGTAGGGTCCATGGAAATGTTGAGTTGGGAAAATTTGCTTCAGATCAATTGTTTGAAGTTGATTCGGAGAATGTTGGCTACTATGTTTTGTTGTCAAATATCTATGCAAATGTTGGGAAATGGGAGGGAGTGGATGAAGTTAGAGCATTGGCTAGAGACAGAGGATTGAGGAAGACTCCAGGATGGAGCTCAATTGAACTGAATAACAGGATTGAAGTCTTTTATACTGCAAACCAATCCCATCCCAGGTGTGTGGAGATATACAAGGAGCTGCAGATTTTAAATGCCAAAACGAAGAGTCTGGGTTATATTCCGGACTATAGCTTTGTGTTGCAGGACGTTGAGGAAGATGAGAAGGAGCACATCCTTACAAGTCATAATGAAAGATTGGCTATTGCATATGGAATTATCAGCACACCTCCTAAGAGTACTATTAGAATCTTTAAGAACTTGCGGGTTTGTGGGGATTGCCACAATTTTACTAAATTCATCTCGAAGATTACTGAAAGGGAGATTACTGTGAGGGACTCTAACCGTTTCCATCACTTCAAAGATGGCACTTGTACTTGTGGAGATTTTTGGTGACATGAAGTATTGATATATTGGATGACATGAATTTTTGATATATTATTCAGAAACCCGATAAGTCAGATCGTTGTCAGTGTTAGTCTTATACAAAGGGTAAGAACATCAACTGCAATGAGAATCAGATTTATAAATTGTTTTTCTCTAAGACCCCAATGGTTTCTATTCTCATCCACACAAACACGCATGATGCATGTGCTACTGTTTTACTGTATGTGTCTATTGAAGCACTTCTACTTGCAGCTGCTTATCAATTTGCAATTTGTTCCTATTCATTTTAAGTATGTTGATTGACATTTCTCTTCCTCCTTTCACATTCTGTGAACATTTGTCGAGCATTCTTGCTTACCAAATTTTAAAAAGAGCTCCGGGGAAACGATCCTAATTCCATAAATTTCATCGTTCTATTTATTTTGATATCCCAAAAGACCCCTTGGTTCTTCATTTCAAGCAGTTGATCATGAATATCTACTGATTTTTAATGCCATTAGCTTAAAATCTCAACATACTTGGTATTTGCAATTGTTTGTTCAACAAATATTGCGGAGTTCAGTATATATATATTTTTTATAATTAATATATTCGTTGCAGTTTTTTGCGGTTTTTGTAAGAAACTGCTACTTTCGCTGTCTAAAAGACTCTTACACACAGTCGCCCTCTTGTGCTTTGTAGTTGAGTCATCCAGATTTGTTCCCCAAATGTTTTTAGTGACATTAGGTTTCACCATTGATTTATTTTGTTAAGAGGAAATCAATTGCTTTAGAATGTTGTCTTCACATATTCTTTATACCTTTTTATTTCTGATTACTTGAGAAGCATAGGATTTGTGTGTCCAATTTTCTTGCAGTGTTGAGTTGTTGGGCTTACCTTTGATAATTGATTGTGATCTATGCTGCAATCATTGTATTGATGAACATCTTATATGCTGTGTGATTTCACACAACCTGCATTTACATTGCTTTGCGGTACTCGGTTTTTGGGCTTGTCACTGTCAGGATTGAAAACTAATATCCGATGTCTTTTTTCTCAACTAGCTAGGTCTACATGAATTTTATTTTTTTCATTTCATTCGATCATACCCTCGGTCAAATTACATTTCATCCTATCATTCCATGTTGATAATATATTATCATTTACTCATTTATTTGGAATGATTGTTACGTACACAAACTCAAACTCATCCTCCAAATATGAAAAAGAGGATGAAAAACAAATAAATTGTGTTATTTTTGTTTTCCCCTATGAAGTAGAGACACGATATGGACACGCGAATATGGCAAATCTAAAAAAAATTAGATATGGGTACGACAGAATACTACAATTGTTTATATATATATATATAGATAAAAAAAAAATATATGAAGTATACTACAATTGTTTATATATATATATTTTTATCAATTTTCTGTAATATATGAATTCAAATGCAAAGTAAATAAAACACAAGATTTTACCAAGTATCTATGTTCAATTAAATTAAATTGGGTGGTCACGTTCCAGGCACGAGGAATTTAACTATCAAAATCTGGGAGGGAGTTGTACTTTTTGTACTTTAAAGGAGTTATTTGCAAAAAGGGGCATGATTGAAGGAGGTTTTTTTGCATTTTACCCGAAGTTCATGCAAACACCCTCACACATAACCCTTTAAAAAGGAGATCATATCATATATATATATATATGATTTATTAGAGATTGTCCTCACTGAGACTAACAAGGCAAATACTGAACAACAACATGGAAAGAACATAAAACAAGATTGTCCTCACTAAGATTAACAAGGCAAATATTGAACAAGAAAGAACATAAAACACTTCAATGTAACATATACATGGCATACGCAATCATGAATGAACTAACAAGACAAATATTGAACAAGAAAGAACATAAAACACACTTCAATGTAACATATACATGGCATACGCAGTCATGAATGAACTAACAAATACTCGCAACTTCATATCCTCTCTCTAACAAACATGCCTGATATTAGGCCCATAAGACCTCGACAAAGAAGCTGAGACTATCAAAACTAAGTAACATTTAGAATGTAAAATAGAGCAAATATTTCCCAATTCTTTGTCCTTTCAAGTTGATATAGCACTATCCAGTCATAACCTTCCCTATAGTGATATCAAACAAAACTCAACACACAGCCAAACAGAAGCAAATCAAAGAGGAAAGGGAACTGTGCATTGGTTGTCCTTTTTGGCCTCAAGAGCTGAGGAAGTGCTACTCTCGCTTCATTTTCCATTCTAAGAGCAAAAAGTGCAGCAGCCTGTAGATAAGATGGAATGTGCCAGGCTGAAGAAATGTCTCTGGCTAGCATTGCGTCATTAAAAGCTTCTTTAGCCATGTTGCTCATAAGATAAGACAAACTACGACGAGCAAATACTGTTGGGGATACCGTTCCAACATCAATGAACTACAAGTTAAATAACAAACTGTAATTTATCACATCAACTGGGAAAAGGCTATTTGTTCAAGTGAGTGTTATCCCACCATATCAGGTAAAAAACATGTCATGAAATTTTTATCAGCTCCCAAAGTAAATGTATAGATGTGGACATACAAACACGCATGCATTGATGCATACACATAAAAGAGCTTGTTGTAACCAACTAAAAATGATAATAACCTGCGTGTAGCACTCGATTGCAGTTTTAAAATCTTTTTCTTGGAAAGCAGCATCACCCTTTTTCTTTGACTTGTCTTGCATTTGAAATGAGATCTGCAATGTTGAAAAGCAAATCTGAGCTAGATTAAAAACAAAATATGTATATCGGTGCAATGGTAAAAGTTTATTTGATTAGCAAAAAACCTAATCTGTCATCACTCCTTCATCATCTCTGTAGCCAATGTTTTCCAATATTTGATGTACTGCAATCAAGGCCATTCTTGAGCAAGCTTCACTAAGTGGGGAGAACGAACCACTGCACGCCTGCACGCAATAGCATCAGATGGCACCTGCACAGTGGAAATAAAAAAATCATAAAAAACTAAATCCGACTATTGACAAAAGAAATTGGCAGTTCTGCTTTGACCAAACACATCAAATAAACCAAATAGCATGTTTGAACAATGCCTGAGATTTTCAAATGGTAAAGTCTTAAGCAACAGCAGCAAAAATTAAACAAATTTGTATCGACCATGAAGTCACCACATCCTCCTTCTTGTCATGTTTTTCATTTCAGTGAACTCTTATCCTGATCACACTTATCCTGACAAGATCAGTGACCTCCCTCCCCCACAAGAGTTTAAGAGAGAAGGAAAGGCACATGGACATAAAGTCCATCAACACTCTCGTTCCTGATTTTCTCCTCGTTTCTATCTTCTAACCACTTCTAATATACTAATCATCTGTCACTCAATTCCTTTTTATTAGTCTTTAATCTAAACCAAATTCTTTAACACAAATTGAGGCTAACCAAGGAAAAATTATGACTTTTTCAGTGTCATCTCACTTTAACTGAAAATAATAATTTAAAACAAAAAAAAAAAAAAAAAAAAAAAAATTTTGGAAAAAATAACATATTACCGGTAAAGGGCCTAATACAATTTACCAAACATTAGAAAATCAATCATACAATTAGGAAAAAAAATATTCAATCATAATTAGTGTTTATTTAAGATCATGAAATAAAACAGTTGAATTAATTTAAGAGGTAAGTAAAAAAGAAATTTCAGCCTAATGTATCATGCATGGAAACATCAATTACATACCCTGTTTTCGAGGTTAACATTCCTCCTTTTAGGAAGAGAGAGAGACAGTGATAAATCACTTCCATCATCCGTATCATTTCCCTTCTCTTTTGCTGACGTCATCTTGTTGAACCAGTCAGTAAATATAAATTCATCACTGGTCTGTCTTCTCTCTCGTGGTCCAGGGTATACCACACTCAAGGCCCAGTCAGTGTTTTCCTTGAGCTTGTACTCTCTCATTAGAAATTTTGTTTGTCCAACCTTCTTAACTTTCCTATCAAAACTATAAGATCCCCTCTCCCCTACCACTACCAATGCATCACTCACTGATGTTTTGTTCTCTTTTCTCCAAGTTCCATTTGTAGCCTCTCGCTGGTTCCTTGACCCCACCTTATGCAGTGGGGTTAGGAAATACATCATTCTATTATGTGTGCAGGAAGAGAAAGCTCCTTCTAGTTGGATCGGATCGAATTGATATATGTCTACCTCCTCAATGATTCCAGGAGGTATTTGATTCCCAGATACCTTCAACCGGAGGTACAGGAACAATTCCCATTCTTCAGGAATGAACCTCACACCCAATGGTTCCGAGTCTTTCCAGTTACCTGCAGGATAGATGTTAATTATACACCCCAATATAGGCACAGAGTTGAATCTCCAAAGATAGTAAATACCTTATCCATTTAGGAAAAGCCTAAACCACTGTTTAAGTCACCAAGAAAGTTGGCTTAGGGTTTTGAGGCCACTAAAATTATATCCCATTTCCAGCCCTTGTAAAACAATTTAGTTGATAAAATAAAGCTACAAGTGAAATTTGGAAACAACATATTAGGGCCAGTTCTGATATAGTAATAGGAACAGTCAAAAGCAGTTTAAAGAGTCTTCGGGCCTTCAATTGACAGACTATGTACTCTGTAGTTTCAACAGTAAGGACTCTCCTATGGTTAATTTGGGAGAAGTTATGGGACATTCTAAGAGGGGAAGAAGCTATAATGCTTCATTCAATTTTGCTAAGGATAAAATGGGAACAAAAAGAAGGTGAAAAGGACACTTGAGAAAACATGGTAACCTGTGATTATATATATAACACAAGGACATATAAAAGCTTGCAGAAAATGCAGACTGGCTAAAATACATAATTGGCGTAGCTGACACCAAATGGCTCTAAAAAGCTATGTGAGCTAAGTACCTTAATGATCGATATATGAAACTAAGAAGATATGAGCAAACTTTAAGAGAAAATTCATCAATTGTCAATAACGATGCAGCCTTATAATTTGATAAGAGTCTATGCTGATACAGAGGATAGGTTTTTTACCAGGCACAGATGAGGTATGTTTCCTTGACAGCACAGTAGATGGTTCACTCACTGCCTGTGGTGTTGGGTCCTCTTCACAGCTGTTATAAAAATAAAAAAACACATCAGGACTCACAATCAACAAGAACAGCAATAATCATCCAAGAATTGGATGAATTGAATAAAAGATGAAGAACACATTTTAAGGGTCAATCAAGAATAGAAATAAAGAAAGGTGAAGCAAAAACTTCAACACTCAGAAATTGGAGTTAATATACCGTAGATAATTCAGTGTTGTTTTGCTATAGGTTTTCCACATGATGAAAAGATGAAGAACAGAAAATTGAAATGAAAAAAATAAAAGAAAAAAAGAACAGCAATAAACAGTCAAGACTCAAACAAAAGATGAAGTACAGTTAAGACTCAAAATAAACACATTTTATGAGTCAATCAAGAACAGCAATAAAGAAAAATGAAGCACGAAGTTCAACACGCAGAAATTGGAGTTAATATAATGTAGTTAAATCAGTGTTGTTTTGGTATACGTTTTCCACATGAAGAAAAGATGAAGAACAGAAAATTGAAAATGAAAAAAAAAAAAGAAAAAAAAAGAAGAACAGCAATAAACAGTAAAGACTCAAACAAGAAAAGCACAAATGGTCTCAGAAAATGTAAAAACCAAAAACAAAATATTCATACCGAGAGTTGTATTTGTCATTCTCGCAAGCCATTGTTAATCTTCAACTGGTATAGAATGAGATTGAAAGTATATGAAGACGGTGGGACGTAGAGAGAGAAAGTATCAGAGAGAAGAACGAGAGAGAGTATCAGAGAGAAGGATGAGTTCAAAGCTCGTATTAGATGATATATATATATATATATATATATCTCAATGTAACAGATTTAGGGGCCGTTTGGGAGGCATCGGGAAGCTCTCAAACTACTCCCAAACGGGGCCTTAACAATCTTGAAAAAAAGACTTGCATCCAACCCAGGTTGGACGAAGTTTGTCCAACCTGGTACGTGGCCCAATAGAATTCCGACACGTGTTTATAATTATATAAAATTTAATTGGGCATTGCCCATATATTTTCGGGAAAAACCCATTTATGTGAGATTCTATCCTTTCTCTCTCTACAAACATCTTAATCAATCTCCTTCACCACGTCGTCCCAATTCCTCATCAACCCATCCCAGTCCTCCACCTTGACGGTATCTTCACGGCATTGGAGAGAATGGAGGATTTGCAGCCCGTGGATTGGATCAGAGCTTGTATTGCAATCGCCGGAGAAGAAGAGGCGCGTGTGCGCGTGTAAAAGCGTTAGATCTACTCGCATGAGCGCGTGACGGCGAGTGGTCGGAGAAGTTCATTCCGGCGATGTAGTCTGTGCTCGAAGTTCATTCCGGCGGAGATGGTGGGGATAGTGGCCTGCGAATACGTCTCTCTCTCGATTAGGGACTGCTATTTGGGTGTAATGGCTGCTGTGTTTGGGATTGATGGTTGTGCTTGGTGGGTGAGCAGTGGTGGGATTGATAGGCAATCGCTGCAGATTTTAGGAGAGAGCAAAGGGAGCGATCTTCTGAAATCGCTGTAATCGCTGCAGATTTTAGGAGAGAGCAAAGTGTTCGGTCGGGTCAAACCCATTTAAGTTGGGTAGTATTCAACTTAAGTTCAATAGTGTTTTATGGACACTTGTCATGTCCTGATTGGGCCACGTATCCAGGTTGGACAAGCTTCATCCAACCTGCGTTGGATGTAAGTATTGTCTAAAAAAGAAAAAAAGAAAAAAAAAAAAAAATTTAGAACGATATTACAGAAACAGTTAAATGGCGGGAAAAATCCCACGCACCTGCTGATCTCGGCTCGATCGTTGAGCAAACTCGAGCCGACAAAATACACTATACACTATATATATATATATATATCTACCTGTCTCTTAATAGATGAGGAAATCAGGCCAATGTTTTGATTCCTTTTACACAATCGAAAAGTATTTCCGACTGAGATCAAAGAAAGTGGCCGTGTTAATTTTGTTGTTGTCGCTCGCAGCCTCTTGTCGCAAAAGCATGACTAGGGTTTACACGTTAAGATAATGAAAAGAGAGGTAGGTGGCAGATGAGCTCGTAGTTGGATTTGTAATGGACCTGCGTTTTGGAAGCACTAATACGGATACTTCAAAATATTACGGGTATGGAGATATACAAAACTTTTTAAAAAAATTAAGATACGAGTACAATAAAAATAATATAAAATTTATTTTTATATATATACAAATATTAATTTTAGGTCTGTTTTTTAAAAATTTTAAGCTAAATGCAATTATTAATATGACATAAAATGTCTTTTTACCACACATAAAACAAGGATCCTTAAAATTTAAAATTTTCTTAACTATTATGTTATTATTGTTGGAAAAATTGCATTTTAATATTCAAATTTGTTTAAAATGTGTTATAAAGTGATTGAGAAGTGTCAGATACGAAGTCGAAATACCTAAAAAAAATTTGATGCGTGTTAAAAATAAAAATATATTTTAAAATTATGAATATGTTTAAGATATATCTGACACGTATGACATATGTGTGAATAGGGATGGTAATTTGCCCGCCCTGGCCCGTTTAAACCGGTTTCAGAGGAACAGTATAAGGGATTTGGGTGGGGACGAGTTTTATAGGGAAAAACTCGTGCTGTTTTGGTGCGGGGGCAGGGGACCCGCCCAGCCCGATTAATTTGTATTTTTATTTTTTATTTTCCATAAATTCAATTAATGTGTATTGTTGTCATTACAATTATATTTGTAATTTGAAGTTTATATTAAACTATATATTATTGATAATGCATTCTGTGTGGGCTGTATTATTATAATTTTTGGGGAGAAAAAAATAAAAAACAAAAAAGGGAAACATTTGGGACGGGCAAGGTACTCGCGGAGTGCAAAAACATAAACGGGTCGGACGAGTTAGGGTATTTTAAATGGAGCAGAAATGAGTTGGAGTGTACCCGCTCAGAACCGCCCCTATTACCACCCATATTCGTGATTATCTATGAAGTATCGATATCCGACACATATCCGATAAGAATATAGCTCTTAAAAATGTGTACTTCCTAATACTCAGCATTGGATATATAAATTCGTAATGGCTTAGATTTTAGTTTTAATGGAGTAATGGATAAAACTATGTTTTGCATTGAATTGAGTTGGAATAGTAATAATGACAAAAAAGTTAGTGTGCCCTTTTATATGGAGTATGGACTGATTTTATCCCACATGGAGTCAACAGAAAGTATGATACACATGTATATCTATATCTTTAGTATATATCTATATTCTCTTCTTTTAATATAAAAAAAAATCTATATAATTTTGAAATTCTGTCTTATTTTAAGTTTCTATTCCATTTTTAATTAATTTAAAAAGATTTTATTTTCTTTTTTTTAAAAAGTTTTTAGAGGAGTATATGTAAAACTGTATCACATATTACTTACGTATTTTATTTATTTTTAAAAAGAGTTTTTTTCTATCTAATTCTAAAATTTGGCAACACAAACCGCATCTAGGTTGTTCTCTCTCCATTATTTTCCCGGTTTTATTTCTCGTTAAGTTTTATCCATCTATTGTTATTATTATTATTATTATTATTATTATTATTTTTGAAGATTTTAAACTAAAACAAAATATTTTTAAGTTTGCATGATGATTTTATGAGTTGTATTTTTCAATTGTTGTTATTTGCCTATTGATTTTGCTTATGTTAATTTTGTTTCATAAAATTGCTAAAGTTTTGTACAATTTAGGATTTTAAAATAAGTTTTTTGTATTTGAGTATTATTCAATTAATTTTAGCTTTATTATTATTTTTATTATTTTCCTGATTATATGAAATTTATTGGTTTAAAAAACCATAAAATTAGGCACATAAATTAATACGTGGAGCAAGAGATTCAATTAATCAATGTGATTGTTCTTTATAATTTTTTTATTATTGTGGATGAACTTAGCGGGCTGAAGCAGTATCTCATGGTGTATGCTATTTATTGTTTTCTTCTTTGGGGATAAATACGAGCAACTTCATTATTATGAGTTGTTTTCTTCTTTTGGTAGAAAAGGGTTATGCTTAGTATACAACTATACATATAAGCATATGATTGAATATTTAAGATTGAGTTTTGAGAGCTTCTGAAAAAAAATAATAATAATAAGTTGACTTTTGTGGTTTACATGTCAAATATTGTACAAAACTTTGATTTCTTTTATTATCCATATCAATAATATTAAAATGCTTCTCATTTTTTTAAAGGTAAAGTGCAATAAACCCCTTCTAATTATTTCCCAAGTGCAACTAATCCCTCTCAACTACAAATAACCCCCCTCAACTATAGTCTTGGTGGAAGTCTTAGGATAGAGAAGGTTATTCCGGTCATCTCCTATCACCGGAAATTAGAAAAGTCCATTTTACCCCTCATCAAACCACAAAATAGAGATAGAGAGAAATGCATAGAGAGAGAAAGAAAAGACTAGAGAGAACTCTGAACTGCTCAAAAGTGTGATGGCCATCAATTAAAAGGGTTTCTGAAAATACGCCGGAGCAATTCATCCTCATGATCGTAGCGAACAGGAAAAGGTACACCGACGGCATCACCGGAGGAGGAGAGGCATCGGGCTTGTTAGGTTCAAGAACAGAATATATGTGCGAGGAGGAGGCGATGGTGGTGGTAGAAGTGGGCAGTGGGTTTATGGATTAGAATGAAAAGTTTAAGTTTCCAAGGCGATAGAGAGAGAAGGTCGTGGGTCACCTTTTGATTTCTAAAGGTTGCATAGTTGATATTCCTTGTCAAAACACCTTTTTCATTTGCGAGAAAAAAAAAAAAAAAAGAAAAAAAAAAAACCCACTCCGGACACCCCTTCTGTTTTATATACTTTGCTTAGCAAGTGTCTTATTTTATAAAGAATTTCTTTCAAATTCAAACACTTTTTATATTACAAACATTTTCTTTCATAAAGAGTTATTGTCCAGTTAAAATATACTCCTATCAACTATCAATTTAAATTATTTTGTATATATTAATTTTTTTGTAAAATAAGATACGCTTCCTCAAAACTATTGAAAGCATATAACGATTCAATCATATAAAAAAAAAGTAAACGGATATTTCAACTTCCTAAATTAGTCTCTTGCACTGGCTTTCTGTCTTTTGCGCTCTCTCTCTCTTTCCATCTTTCTATGTAAAAATATATGTGCAAACAATTATTAAATGCAGTCACACCCTTTTGTTGGAGACACATCTTTGATTAGTGTGCATCAAATTGGTTTTCAAGAAAGTTAAGGCAAAAACTATTTTTAGTTGAACAGACATATCCTTTCATGAATAGGTGTGTAATATCCTATAAATAGGATAGTAATTTAATGAATAAAATATAATTTTTACATTTTTCTCTTTGTTTATTGTTTATTTTCTAAATATCCCTCCTTACTACCGATATACTATCTCATTATATATCTTGAATTTATGGGCAACACTATAATGGAAGACTTGGTATATGTTCTTCAGTGAACGTGACAATCTTGAAGCCTTTCATAATCACGACTCTCCAACAAGCCAGAAGTTTCTTACTCTCTTTTATGTTAATATACTTTTATTGATATTTTTATTGGACTATTATTATTTTAAAATTTCATTCTCTGAGTATATAATGTGTTTATTGTTCTGTGTTCCTTTTCTACATAATTTTGTGTTCCTTTTTTTTTTTTTTCATAGTTGGTACTCTCACATACTTGTCTCTTTTGAGACTTGAACCCCTGACCTCCATTTGGGTGGTAAGTGGCTGATACCGCTAGACCACTGGCCCGTTGGTAGTTTTGTATAGTAAGAGGCTGATACCGCTAGGCCACTGATCCGTTGATAATTTTGTATGGTAAGAGGTTGATACCGCTAGACCACTGGCCCTTTGGTAATTTTGTACTCCATTCTTTTTAACCTTTTAAGATATATTGTTCTTTTATTGTTATATTTTAATACAATTTATGATTTGATATAATAAATCTCTTCTACTGTTGATTCACTAGCCTTTTTCATTGCTAGGCGAAATAAAATTATATTCTTTAATTCTTTTAGTATAAATATTACTCCAAGAATATTAGGTTTCCATAAGGTTTTGCATAAAAAGACTTTGAAAATGATGAAAAGTGACAAAAGGATTGACTTAGTGACAGATGAATGATAATTTAAAGTTTCAAACTTATTCTGCTCTGAAATTTTAAATAAATAAATAAAAATTAATTTAGCACTTGTATTTACAAGTTACCGTTAGTTATTTTAATTTTATTTTAGATTTTTTTTTCTCCATTTCGTTTCCAAATTATTATTATTTTTTTCATTTGAACTATTTTACTATTTTAAAATATAACTAAGTTACAATCACGGGTATCGCACGTGGTTCTATCTTTTATATATATATATATATCTTTTTGAGGGCGTGAATTCTAAATTAGAAGTTAAAGTTGTGAAGGCTGAAAATCAGGTTCCAAAATAATGGGGAGCAATCCAATAGCTCGTTATAGAGGCGTTCACAACGTTCACAAATACCGGACATTAAAATTTAATGGATTGCGTGTATCAATTTTGTACTCGGTATTTTGGTTCAAAAAAGTTTATATTTTGGTTGTTTTATATCTTATGCTTAATTTTACTGATCAGTACTCGGTATTTTGGTTCAAAAAAGTTTATATTTTGGTATCATTCATGTGATACAAATGAATGTGTAGCACCTTTATCAAACAAAACATGATCAAGTCTACTGTGTATAAAAAACATACCCTTAATAGCTTGAAGAGCCTGCACATCGTGTGGCATGCATGATTTTAGAGCAGTGTATTAAAATATTCTTTTGTGTAAAATATACATTGTCACGTATGATGTGTAAATTTTTTTTATCTTCAGTTATATACACTG